AACACTGCAGAAGATAGTCAGCCCTATGCAAAGGCATATACTGGAGTTAGTATGCCCTACAAATTAGGCTCTTGCCTATCCTGACACGCTCGACGGATGACTTGGGATACCCAGCCAGTATGTGTATACGGCACATGGATCCACATCAGTTTCTCAGTATCAGCCTCAGGTCGATCGAAACGTGGAACCGCTCGGGGTATATCCGGTCTGTCGGCATCCTGATTAATACGATCGCGAGTAGACTTGGGTATTGCTAGGAACGGCGATTGCACTGGTTGCGATGTAGAAGAGCTCCTATTATCTATTAGCTTAAGGTTTCGGCTCAAGCATCGGATTGTGATTTTCTTACGAGGGTGGCCGTTCAATACTTCCCTGGGAGCTGCTATCAGAAGCACTCCTATGATGAGATCGTTTGAGTGGAATTAAGCCAAGCGCCTTGGTGAGTGAACTCTTTCGTTTCTGCTCCTCCGGCGGCGGAGGAGTTTCACTTTGTGAGTCATTCAAGTAGCCCTCCCTCTCTGCTTCAGTGATATGGATCTTCGGAGACGGACCGGATGGATCATCGAAGCTTTGTCTGTAGGGCAGAGGAGGTCGAAGGGCCCTTGGCTTCTCCTCAGGGTGGTCATGATGATGGTCATGTGGATCCGAGCTAGGGGTAATGTATGATGACCGAGGACTATCAAAACTGCTGATTGACGAATCGTCCAAGCCACTGGGCTGGACTCGGCCAAGTCTCTCCCGAAGGCAAGCTGATGGACCCCGAGAGAGGTAGTCTTCCAAGGACACCGTGGTTGACCACAGCTTGAGCGGGGTTTCCTCACTGAGGCCCAGTGCAGTATCCTCAAAAAAGCCATTAATTTGAACCATGACTTTCTTTTCTACGTCCAACGGGGTATCCTCACGCTTTGAGATTTCAACAGCAGTATCAGCGGCATCACCAAGCTCCTGCAAAAATCTATCTCGTGTGGACTCCTGGCCGTCGAAAGTTGCCGTTCCCGCATGGTCTGTTGCCATGGGTAGTTCCTGTTCATGCTCAATATTCAACAGCCCCGACCGAATCGAAGTGATGGGAACATGGAACTCGAGTAGGTTATTCGTCTCAGCGTCGACTACATACATAGTGGAATCCACAGTTTCGAGAAAAGACCAGACCTTCATATCAGCCGAAAGGGTCTTGAACTGGTTGGATAGATGCCATAGTCGCTCTTGACGGGGACGTAATTGTCTCCTGAGCGCTGCGGGAGTCTCTTTCTCTAGATGCAGGAGATGTGAAATACTGGGAGCATACTCATCCGCGGAGAGATAAGTGGAGCCTTGGTGGGGTGTTGCGAAGAACGCGATACCATGACAGCTGGTTAAGATCGACTGGCTTGGCTCTCGTGATGCCAAGGCTAGAGCTGCTTTAACGACGAGACCGCCAGTGCTATGGCAGATGAGAAAGATGGGACGTCGACTTGGCTGATGATATTTGAGTAAATTATTCACGGTTATGTACGAAAAGAGAAGATGGTACCATACCTCATGCTTCCGCTCACTACGCAGTTGATTCAATAGTTTTTCACCCAGGGTATCGATTTTATCGTCACCCAGGTCTCCGTAGTTATACAGCAGGACTCGTGCTCGAGGAATGCGCTGTAGTAGTTCAGTATCGAGCCAGGACGATGTCGCACCATGCGCGATCCATGTCTTTCTATGATGCGCGCCAATAGGCGGGACGGCGACAATACTGAGGAATAAGTTAGTAGCTGAATGTGATAAGTGATAACATGGACTGTGTACTTACTCAACATTAGTATCTGCTGCGACAGGAATATGCTCGAACCATGAGTGACTGTGGCCGGTCACGGGTGGTCGCGAAGTCATATTGGCGACTGCAGTTGCACATAGGACGATTAGAGACTTGGAGAAAATAGCGGGGATCAAGTCAAGAGGCAATCCGACCATTCTTAAATCTCACAAATTAGGGGGGGCGCACTTCAGCCTCATATTGGGGTCCGGATGATCGCGCCCCGACACCCTAGTTTGCCCGCTGATAAGTCTGCCCTCTTGTGAGCCAAATGTCTTGCCATGTGGATTGTACAAAAGTACATCTATGTATTATATATAATAGATTGATAGATATTACTACCTAGGTATATAACCAGAGAGAGAGATTTCCATTAATGTATATACATAGAAAACACCCAAATTCCAAATGCAAATGCAAACCACTCTATAACTCGGCTCATGCGGTATCATCAGAAACGCCATAACAAAAATAAAAGTGGGGAGAGTCAGCGCATATGCATTATAATTGTACAAAAGGGGAGATTATGCGTCCGAGTGTCGCCGTTCGTTGACTTCGCGGGCCATGCGCTTTCCAAGTTCATAGGTTGAGATCATGATGGCGCAGGCCGGGGCAACTTTTAAACATCGTGCCGTCCAACCACGGAATAGGCCAGCGGTACCTTCTTCACGGAAGATGTGCATGAGAAATTTTGGTAAGGATAATTGTTCTGGCGCCAAGATGCCGGGGGGGTAATGCCGTGCGGGGGGCCGTGCCAGTGAGAGGGACATCGTCCAAATGTCGGAAAACTTGCTGGCGCGTCTTCCCAACATCGAACGGAGTAGTAACAAGTGCTGCTAAGGAACCCGAAACACCTCCGGAGATGAAGCTATCAAGGAAGGCTTGGAGACTTGACTCTTCGGGCTCATGGTCCAAGCCCGAAAGATGAGGGGCTTTCTGGCGCGCCGCGATCAGCGCCTTTCTCACCTCCTCGTATCCCCACCAGTAGAGTCCGGAGAAAGGAACATCGCGCCACATGGTAAGAGTGAACCCTCGCCAGAGTGAGCTATATCCCTTTGCCTGCGTCATGTGGTACAAATCCTGCACAGTGGCTTTAAAGTGTCCCGCGCCCGTCCCCGGAGTTGCCTGGAGACGCGTCCGGAACATCTCCAGCGGACTGGTCGCCGCTGCAGCCGCGACGCGAGCCAAGGACCCAGCTATCAAGGGCGCATATCCTTCAGACACGCGCTGCTTGATTGGACTTCGCTCATCCGTGCGCAGCCAGTCGTACCCAGCAAAGTAGATGACATTGGCCGGGATTCCCATCATGAGGGTCGGGCTCAACCCTCGCCACAGTGTCAAGGTTCCTTCATTGCGCGCAATCTTCCGTAGCCCGTCGAGAGTGGATGTGAATGTTCGCCGCTGTGTTTCTTCGACCGCGCAATCGATCGCTGGGTGTGGATGGGTTCCGACCACGGCGGTCTGAGACCCTAGCATGCACATCTGGGCATCGTTTCCGACCCAGAAGACTTCGCGACAACAGGATGTGATACCGAGGTTTGGAGGGAGGTTTTTCAAGGTTTGGGTGGTGTGAGAGGTAAAGGGTGAAGTGTTGTAGACTTGGGATTGTGACTGTAAACGGACTCGTACGACATCCAAGGGTGTCACTGCAAGCTGTTAGTTAGTGCTGGGGATTCCAAGGATCGGGAGCACTTCCGACTTACCTAGAAGACCTGTTAAGACATTGCCGGCGGTCGCAGATACCATCCGCTGTCCAGGGGTAATGTTATCTGTTGGGACAGGGCTCTTGGGTGCGGGAGGAGAGTCTGTCGCCGATGCAGTGGCCATTGTAGAATCTTCAAACTGTGCCGTCCATGACGTCCCTAAAGAGGCGGTTGAGTCTGTGCCGAACTGATTGCCAGTGGCGTCGCCTGAAGCAAATTCCACGTTCGGCATTCAATCAATTCAATGTGAAAAACAGTCCAGAGTTCTTCGCGCTTGTGTTGAAAGAAAAAAAGGATGCGTCACCGGGGAAAGGAAAGTTTTTCGGGGTTTCGCGGGTGGCGGTGGGCGGAGATAAGCGTTTTGGGGAAGATTTTGACGATTTGGGGAAGATTTGGAGGGGAGGCACTGGAGGGACGTGATTCTTGCAATTTCCAGTATTATCCGTCTTTATTGAGTTTAGTTCTATGATACCTTGATCTGGCTATTTCTTTTCTAGGCCCTTTTTTTCCCACATGGGCTTATCAATCTGATCTGATCTCCGAGGTCGGACATGAGGCAAATCAGGCTACTTCGGCTCGACCAAAGGGAAGATCGATAGTGGACCTTGTGTAGTGGGGTGTCTATAGATTTTAAAAGGGTTGGGGTATCCATTTTTCATGAATTAATAGGTGTGAATTGGATGTAAATAGGGGTGTATGTTGTGTCTCAAAATTGAAGTATAAAAACAGAGTCCGCGCATAGCCGACTATAGCCTCATGTACAGGATACTACAGGATACATTTGACTTGCTCTATTATTCTATACAACATAGACATCATCCCTAAGCTAGCCTACCCCGCATCCTCATTTGTCTTTCCTTGGCTCATCATATACCCTAGACTTTAAACTGTACATGCGTGGCCATTTTCTCCGTGGAAATGTGGAGTGAACTTAGCATGGTCCATTTGAGATGTACCTAGGTAGGCTCCAACTTTCTCATGAAAAGTAGCATTGAATTCAACACTTTTTTGTGACTCCAATGACATTCGGAAGATCATAGTTCAAACCATTCATGTCGCAGCAGCTCTGCAGCTGACTTTCGGTGTGCCCGGTCAATTGTAAGCACACCCTGAAGGAAGTCGATGAAAATGGGAATTTCAGCGTCGGGCATGTCATTGGGTTTAAGAAAAGGCCTTTCTGCGCCGTTCATAAGTCGTGCGAGACTCGTCGGTGTCAGATCCGAAATCCGAAGAAAGACGCCCGAAGGAGTAAAAGCAGACATATGCTATCCCCTTCTCACTCTTCTACGTCAAATGGCTAACAGTATACAGCTTAGTGAATAGATTAACCAAGTCATCATATAGCTCATAAGCTACCCCACAAAGAAAGATAAAAATACCCCTGAACCGTCAACAAAAGGAAAAGTCCCCAAAAGAGCAATCCGAACTAGTCATCATCGGTGTATGAACCCTCGAAGCTCAAAAGTTCATCTCATAGTCACTTTCAGTTTCTCACCACCAACATCTAGAGATCAATGTTGGAAGTTTGAAAGAAGATGCATAAATAACTCGACCTTTTCCTCCATCCCTTTCACTTCCATGCACCAGAAATGCAACATATCTGTTGTATCTTTAATTGCCTGCAGCCATCCTTGCGGAAGCAGATCGTAGGTGGACGGATTAAGTGCAACCGCAAGAAGAATCGCCGCGCTTCGGGCCGAAGAGTGCATCATGAGCCAGGTTCCATGGTGCCGATGGTAGAAGCCAGGTTGATTAATATTCAACCGATTGAGGTGGAATTGTAGTCCCCTCGAAGCCCATTCGCGCGCAGAGGGGCTCATTGTCTCCGCGGGTGACGAAGGCAACTGCCTAACGATAGCGTAAATGAAGGGCCATGATATAAGCTCAAGTAGATACGTTTCTCGACCTCGCAACACAAATCGAAGGATGTCCGATTCCATATTATCGTCTAAAATAGCCACTATCGATGGCAGCGAGTCCTGCCAGGTAACTAACTGGTCGTAGTTGCTTTTAGCGACCTCAGCCAGCTGGTCGAGAAGTGGTCCCCGCTTTCCAGGCCTCCAATCCCGAGAAACTCTGGTGATTTCTTCCCGCGCATCTGTCTCTAGACGCCAAAGAGAAATTTCAGATAAGTAGAAATACCAGGACCGCAGGGTATCCCCTTCATTGCCCTGAGGGAGACTTGGAAACAGTGTCGGGGAGTCGAGAGACGAGTTACGGAAATCCGGCAAATCGAGCTCCCATCTGAGCTCTCTCTCTGATTTCCAGCATGACCAGTATATGCTTTCCTCCGCTAGGTTTCCAGTTTGATTTTGCTGTTGCGGATGCGACGAGTTCTGAACAAAACCGAACCCCTGACATGCTGCCAGAGCTTGTAGAAACATGCGCCATGCATCAAAAGCACGCATACAAGTCATCATGTAAACGCCAGCCAGAAATAGACATTGGGCCTGAATAAGCCCAGGACACTCGAGGATGCAGCCCATACGCTTTTGTGCCGTGGCGAATAGGGCCGGTCCCGCTGATACGTGTATTTCATTGACTGAAAGTGAAGGCGAACGAAATGGGCGTGAAATTGCACCATTGGCACAAATTAGCAAAGCGAGACAAGATTCAGCGTCCCAGCCAGCGCCATTGTGGCAGACTCTGCGAACGAGTGTGCGAATACTGGGTTCATGGAAAACCGGATTTTTGACATGCACATCCCGAAAAAATGCATCTAGGTACCCAGCACACAGATTGGGGTCAAGCTCATCGCCAGATATGGCTACCGGCTGGGTATCACCAGTCAACCTCGATGACAAAGGGCTGGGTAGTTTTTGACAAGTCGATATAATGGGGGACGCGCCAGAACAGAAAATTGACCAGCCGAGAACCTTTTCCAGACTTTCAGGCAGTGGCGGGACCAGGGGTCCGGATAATTGGAGGGGAAGCGTGTTTACTTCTGGCCCTGCAGCGTGAATGGCATCTAGCTTCTCCTCTACATTGGCCAGTCGCTCCAGAATAGCCAGACTTGCTGGATCAAAGGTTGATAGACTAGCGGGTTCGGAAATACACTGTGCATCGATTCGCTCGCAGAAGGAGCAGCGGGGTTTCTTCTGATCGCATTTTGTACGTCGTGCACGACACACTTGACATGCAGTAACGGCGCGTTTCCGCGGATAGGCCATGCTCCCCCTGCTGACGGGGGCTATGCGAGAGCTTTTCATGACCTGGTAGTGGGAAACAACAGAATCAAACAATATGGGGGTTTAGGGGAATGTCGGGAGCGGGGATAACCTTGGAAGTTGCAAAGTTTATATGCTCGCGGAGTGTCGGGATAGTGGAGAAGCGGGGAAGTGGAGCTCCCTAGATGTATACACCAGAGGGTAATTGAGACACAAGACCGAAATATAAAGAACTCATGTCTGCTCTGGTTGTAATGCCAATAAACTAGGTAACGATGGAGAAAAAGAAATCTCTTGAGCATGTTGAATGCGAGCAGTCCGCTGCGAAGGCACATGCCACCACGGACTATGAGCATGAACAGCACTTGACCTTGAAAGAAGTTGCACGCAAGCATCCTAAGCTACTTCTCTGGACCTTCTTTTGGTGCATGTGCGCCTTGGGATGTAAGATATAACGGGCCCGACGTGATATTACATGCTAATGCGATACAGGGGGTTTTGATACTCAGGTCAATGGTTCGATTATCGGCGTCCCGTCATTCCGCTCATATTATGGGTTTGTGAAATTTGATCCGGCTGAATGAAGCTTCGCTGATAAGAAAATTAAAAGAGATAAATTTCAAGGCGACGCTGTGATTCCGGCCGAATGGCTGTCTGCCTTCAACATCACTTCGTCCGTGGGTCAGTTTTTCGGTGGCTTTGTGTGCAGTTGGATCGCGGACCGAATTGGGCGGAAGAAGAGTCTCAGTATTGGCGTTATTATTGTGACTGGTGGCATCTTTGGTGAGACCTGGTCATCGACACGCGCAGCCTTCGTCGTCAGCAAGCTTATCCTCGGTGTTGGTGTTGGCTTCTATCTAACACTTGGCCCAATCACATGTTCGGAATTCAGCCCTGTTGTCCTAAGAGGGTATACCACTTCTGGTGTGAACTTGGCCATTGCCATGGGACAGTTGATCTCAAACTCAGTGACGAAGGGCTTCGGAGATCGCGTGGATGTATGGGGGTTCCGCGCCCCGTTTCTCGTCCAACTTGTGTTCTCAATCCTGTTGTTTACCGGAAGCATATTTTCACCCGAGTCCCCATACTACCTAGTCCAACGGGGCTGCATTGATGAGGCCCGCATAAGCCTCCAGCGCCTATATGGCAGTGATTTTGACGTTGAGCCTAAGCTGGATACAATCAAAGTCACTGTTGAAGCCGAGGCCTGTTGTGAGAAGGCAAGCTACGCGTTAGCGTTTCAAGGAACTAACAGGATCCGCACGCTTATTTCCATGGGTGTGTTTGCCTGTCAGCACTTTGCTGGAATTATCTTCGTGCTTAGCTTTTCTACCTATTTCTTCCAGTTGGCGGGACTCAGTACTTCCAACGCCTTTGACCTTGGTGTTGGATTGACAGCCTGTGGAGTCGCAGGTAATATTTGCTCTTGGTTTCTGGTCCATCGATTAGGTCGCCGGCCCATTTTCCTAGGCGGCATGGTTGCATGTACAACGATACTATTCCTAATAGGAATTATGGATGTCATTCCGACCAATTCCGCCAAATGGGTCATGTCCTCCCTAACGGTCGTCTACTCATTTGTCTACTTCCTGACCATCGGTGCTGTTGCCTTCGTCCTCCTGGGAGAAGTCTCATCAGTCACTCTTCGTGCAAGGACGACTGCTCTCGCTACAGCCACGCAAGCCATTTTCGGGATCATCATGTTCTTCGCGGTTCCATATATGGTAAATCCAGATGCAGGGGTATGTTCTTTTCTTCCCCTTACTCGATGCCTTCTTTTGCTCAATTATCATACAGAATCTTAAAGGCAAAGTCGGGTTCATCTTCGGTGGGTTGTCGCTGGCCGCCACAATTGTGTGCTTCTTTTACATCCCCGAGCTACGAGGCAAAACCAACGCGGAAATTGACACCATGTTTCAAAAGCATGTCCAACCGAGGAAAATGGGTTCCTACCACGATGACGAGTTTATTTCGTGAAACAGTGGCTGGATGGGGATTGGGATTTCTATGGTTTACTAACAGTACATTGAGGAATTTGATATGTGACGTGGCATAGGTTTTAAATGAGCTTTTCCTAACTGTAGAGGAACATCAACTTAGTGTGTATGTAGGTTGGTACTAGAAGTAATTCATGACACAAGAATAACCGGCCGTTCATGCGGCCTTTGTACTTCGCGACATCAGACTTCAATAATACGATATATTGGCCCACAATGATATTTGGGACGTTATATGCAAAAGCACACGGACGTGCTCTCGTGAGTTCTCTTCTAGTGTATTCTTGGGTGTTCTTTTTTGGGATCCTTTTAGGCATACTTTGTTTAAGAGACCTCTCTGTGTATAACCTTTGACTATCCATCCCATTCCAGTCTCTATCTCAGCTTTGAATGTTATTTTTGTGGTTCTTGGTAGCTATTGAGTTGGTGTTATTGTTTTACGAAATAATGAAGCAGTAAAAATGTATTGTATAAGAAGCAAACCATTCGCGATTGGCAATGTCAATTGAGGTTTAATGCAAGTTCTATCGGGATGGGAAATATGGTTCGATCAATAATCCAAAAGTACTACTATCATTGATCCTCATAAAATACATTTCGCTCGTGATGAGTCCGGGTCTCCCGAAAACGATGCAACTTCTACATCAAAAGTCTTGACAGGCAGCGTGAATTCGCCATTCACCCAGCGTTGAATGGGCCTTAGAGAAGCCATCACATTGCACGTAACAGATTGCCCTACACCCAGGTCAATGACCTTGAAGCCCATCAAAAGGCGAGTGGGAAACTCCGACATGGCAGGCAGGCCGTAGACTTGGGCGATGTACCGTCCAGCCCGGGTCCCAGTATTAGTTGTTGTGAATGTAACCGAAATGGATTCATCGTGTGTGACCTCGGACAATGCTCTTCCTCCCCGAATAGAATCAACGAGCACATTGGACACAGCAAACTTGGTATAAGAAAGTCCTGCGCCGAAGGGGAATGCGGCATCGATACCGAGCTTGTCTAGCAGATGCTGACCAAACCAACGGTCGTAACGGATTGACGTGGTCTCACGGTCGAAAAATGGCAGGTGGGCTTCGTCCCGTGGGATAGAAAATGGTAAACGGCCACTAGCATCGACATTACCCAAGAGGACATCAGCCAAAGCGTGGCCACCTTCCGAGCCACCATACCAGCTCATCAAAATGGCAGGGGCTTTGCTTTCCCACGGCTCCACAAGCACTGCGCCAGCAGCCACAATGGATATCACTGTTCGGGAATTCATTTCGGTCACAGCGGTAATCAGAGCTTCATCCTGTGGTCTTAGGTGCAATGATTTCCTATCACCCCCTGCGCCTACCTCCAACGCTGTTTCCATTCCTTTGCCGACCCCGGCAGATTTACCTTGGAGAAGGGCATACATTTCCAACTCTTTGGGTGTGACGGCTGGCGGAAAGAGTTCACATAGGACGGGGTCTTGCTGCAACGCTGGGACGACATACTCTCCCTCGTCGGCATGATTATACCCAACAATGCAGATGACCACATCAGCTTCAGAAGCAACCTTCATCGCTTCTTCTACGCTGTCTGTGTCTGAAACCAAGAACTCGACTGAAGGTATAGCAGCCTGTAATCCCTGTAATGGAGTTACCACGCTTGGGGGGAACACTTGGGACGAGCCTTTGTCGCCGATGTTGGCAACGTTGCACAGCCGGCCCACAACGGCGATTTTTGTGATAATTCTAGGTTCCAATGGAAGGGTCGACCGGCCATCGATAGCCTCATTCTTCAGGAGTACGATAGACCGTGCGGCGGCCTCTCGGGCAAGTGCTCGGTGGTCATCACAGAACACCACCGATGTGTCTGGCTGACTGTGAGCATTGCGAGCAGCGAATTCCAGCTCTTTACTGAGGATCCTGACGCATGAACGATCCACATCGGTAGAATCCAGCTGACCAGTTTCCAATGCCCGGCTGAGCTCCAAGGCTCGCTGCTGGACAAATGGTGCTTCAATGTCAAGCCCATTTTGAAGTGATTTGACAGGGTCGCGTAGGCCGAAAATAAAATCGGATAGAACGAAGCCATCAAAGCCCCAGTCCCCACGCAGAATATCGGTCAGTAGATGATTGTTCTGGCCAGCCCATTCACCATTGACCGAATTATAAGCCGACATGACGGAGGCAACGCCACCCTCCACTATGCGCCGAAATTGAGGTAGGTAAACTTCATGCAGTACATCCTCATCAACCTGCACGTCCACACGAAAGCGAGCATTTTCCATTGAGTTAAGGGCAAAATGCTTGACACAAGCCATGATATGATTCTGTACTCCCTGCGTGAGAGCCAACCCGAATTCTCCTAGCATTAGGGGGTTTTCGCTATATGTCTCTTGTATGCGACCCCAGGCCGGATGTCGGGGCAAGTTCACACACACGCCGGCGAAGTAGTTCGCACCCTGTGCCTTGGCTTCTCGTCCAATGGCATCACCGATCCGTCGCTCAAGGTCGACATCCCAGGTAGCTCCGCGGGCCATGGCGACAGGAAATGCAGTCGACGAGCCCATGACAACGCCGCGAGGCCCATCTGTGAAGCGGATGCCGGGAATCCCTAGGCGAGGAATATTACCATGAACAAATGGCTCATAGTTGTAACGATGGCATAGAATTGTTCGTAGTCCGTCCCAAAATGGGGTGTCCCCATCCAGAAGAGAAAGACGTTCGTGTGGTGTTAACTGCGACAGCAGCTGATCGACGACTTCAGAGAGTACTTTGCCATCAAGAATTGACTTGACTGCATTTTGAAAGGCATGATTTGGGGTTAAGCTCGGCATTTTGTGAATAGAGATTCAATTTTGAAAGAAGATGCAATTTAGAAGAGAGTTGCTCGTAGCCGCCTGAACCTATATTGCTGCCCCTCCCGACATTCCGCGACTTATACTAGCAATCCCGTGTTAGTCGTCCGGCTAAATGAAATAAAACTGGAGATAATGTCCGTTTCCCTGGCCCCAAAATGGTAATTTACCGGTGTCTTTAGAGAAAATAGGCAGTCATCTACCCCACACTCGCATCATCCCGACACTCCCCGGCGGCTACAGGGGGTCAATCTTAGCCATTTAGGTGCAATCCTTCAGACTTGCTCGCATTCCCCGCTAGCGACAAAGTCCGGAATCCGATGGACGACATAAGAAATTACGACCATGCGGTTCTATAGCAGAGCCTGGGGGTATAAAGTCTTACACCACCTAGCTTGATTCTATCAGTTCAAATTCAGAGGCAACCAACATTCATCTGGATTATCATTTCCCGAAAATCTTACCAAAAATGCGTTTCGTTGTCCAAGCACTCCAACTGCTTCCTGCTATTTTCTCCATTGCCTTCTCCCAAGTCGTCTCGAACCCGCAACCTGAACCATTCACTGATTTCCTCAATTATATCATCTGGCACCCTGCCGCAGATGCTGTGCAGTGGCATACTCTTTATGCGCGCTCCCTCCAGCTGCCAGATGAGTCTCTTCTCATAACCTGGGAAAACTACCCACTCGAACCACCACTAGTCAATCACCCTATCTTCAGGTCGGTTGATGGTGGCTCGACTTGGTCCAACTATTCTGCCGTGGAGGACCAAGTGAACGGCTGGGGCATGCGCTTTCAACCCTTCCTATACACCTTACCTGAGGAATTTGGTGGATATGCTGCCGGATCAATTCTTGCCGCTGGTGTTTCTACCCCCTTCAGTCTCGTAGGGGGAGTGTACATTGATCTCTATATCAGCGTCGACAATGCGAAAACCTGGAAATTCCTCAGTCATGTCGCGTATGGAGCTGGCCCTGAAACTATTACCAATGGAGACGATGCTATTTGGGAGCCATTTTTGATGTTGTATGACGGGAAGATAGTTTGCTTTTTTTCCGACCAACGTGATCCAGCCCATAGCCAGAAACTCGTCCATGTTACCACCACCGATCTTCTCACATGGTCCGCTGCTGTTCCTGACGTTGTTTATTCCGCTCAGGGTGACCGCCCAGGGATGACTACCGTCGCACATATTGAACCAACCGATACCTACATTTTGACTTACGAATATTGTGGAACCGCTGGATGTGCCGTGCACTATAAGATTTCCCCCTCGCCGTTGGAGTTCGACTCCGTTGCAGGCATTCCGTTAGTCTCAAACGACACGCATCCTATTACTCCGTATGGGTCTCCATATGTAATTTGGACGCCCAATCCTAATCGTGACGACGGTTCTGGACTGATTATTGTCAGTTCCGGTAGCCAGGAAGTGGTATTTGTCAACGAGGATGCGGCAGATGCAGATGGTTGGAAATCTGTGAATATGGGCATGTGGTCCGCCTACTCTCGCTCATTGAGAATCGTCACCATTAAAGGAGCTAAAAAGTTGTTGTTTGCGAATGGAGGCAATATGGGCGATCCTAATAACAACTCAATTGCTTGTGGCGTGGTTGAGATACCAACGTGAAGTGTATATTATGATTTGGTCTGTCGTTCTGGAACTGCCCATGTGGTAAATGAAGATTATATGTATCACGGTATTATTAGCTATCATGCGCGACCTTCCATGAGCATATTGACTGCTTTTGGTCACCTCCAAATAATAACATGCGCACTTTCTATGACAATGGGTCCCTCCACCAGCTCCAAAATTGCCTGAAATGTTACACGATCTATTTCCTCCCAGAAATCATGTTGAAGACATACATATCCCTTGATTCTCCCAGGAAAGAGAAGTCAATGCCTCCAGCGTGAATATTACTTGGATCGCCTACTGGAGTGGCCAAGCCTGGCTGGGAACCTAGGTAGAGCCTCACAACATCAACACTCGACTAACTAACCTACCCATCGATATCACCATAGGGCAGGTCAAGTCATATCTTGATGCGCCCCCTCTAATTCCTAACAGCTACAGAAGAACTGAATCGGATGCAAGTTTGCGTTATTGCTGCCCGTCTTGGTGGTGGGTGCTATTTCACCTCATCCATGCTACAGTCTACTTGTATCTTTCAATCTGTCCTTCATATAGGAAAACTAAATAATGCACGAATTGCTTTCAATAACTTTATGATTTTGAGACCTGGAATAAGGTCGACCAGCACGAACACTCGCTTATGAATATAATACATCCGACACCACCATGCTCAACCACAGGGTTCTGAAATCTTTCTCGCAATTTATACACCGGACAGCCATCAACGAGAAGTTAAACCGAAGGGCCAATAATCCGGCGCACTGTTTGCACCTCCGGGGATAGGCGTTTCAAAGCCGAAGCAAGCTCATCGGCAGCTTGAACCAGAACATCATCCGTCAGCGGCTCTAGTGCATCCAGGATGAACAAAACCCGCGAGGTATCATCGGTCAAAGCAGTTCGTGGACCCTGTCGCCAATTCCATCGACGGCAAGTGATTCCACTATCGTCACACCAAACTGGTTCCCCGGGCGCTGCAAGTTCTGTTTGGGGCTTTCCGCCTGAAAAAGTTTCGAACTCCTCTTTACCAGTAGCGCGGACTAGGAAAGGCGATCCATGGTATTTGCCAAGATCCTCGCCTCCGAATGGGATCTGATATTTGACAGAGATGGCATTGTAGATGTCGGTCAGGCGGTTGACCCGCGGCAAGCCATCCTGCGCGCGCCGAGTCAGAGCCTCTAGGCTGTTTCGCGTCTTTTGGGGTTTGGCTCCGAAACCTTTGTAGGCCTCACGCCATGCGGCGATGTGTGGGAGTTCGGTAACGGGGCAATTGGACAATTTATCCTTGATGGAGTTTTCAGCCTCTTTCAACAGGGCCTCGCTGGAATCATCGCTTGGGCCGGGAGGAATATTCTCTACCACCATCAAGAGGGCGCGATAATCCGGTCGGAGTTGAAAGATTTCTGGAGCTACATGCGCAGCTTGCAACAACTTTTGTGCCACTTGCGTCCCGCTCATGACTGAGGATGAAGTAAATCTGCTGAAGATGTGGCTAAATATTGCAAACTGGGTGTAAGACAATAGCGTAGGCGAGGGAATATTGGAACGATATACGAAGGATAGATCTAAAAGAGGGCGGAGGTTAGCCTAATATACTAGATCCTCAGGCGAATTAATTGTGATAAAAAAACTTTTCACCGAACCACGACCATCTTTGTAAAATACATAAAGAGTGATTTGGTGGATTACCACAGCCCCTTAGCCCCCCTCCCTTCAAGTTCCTAGGGCGGGAAATAGTGGATACAATGTTGTTATTCCAATGTGCCTTCAGGGCCGTTGTGGCAATACTGACTTCCAAAAAGGGTAGTTGATGGGAGTGGGGTCGATCAAGGGAATACCAGGATTTGATTGGATCGTTCTGCAAGCCTCATGAAAATATACTATTTGCTTCGAAGAGCACTTGGGTACAAAGAAACTTTCAGGATGGACTGATTTCATGATGGATATTACTAAATGTGTTGGATGGGAATCAGGGTCGAAGCCGAAGGACAATGTCGTCGCACATAGTAAACGCCTTCTCCATAGAAGCACTCATTCAATTAACTATCTGATCATTAATTGGTCATATATTATTGGTAACTACTAACGACACCTTGTCTGTTCCGATCAGTAAGTCTTCTCCTGTGTTTCTTCCGGCATGGAAGAGTATGAGAGTTGTAGAACCCAAGTTTTCCGCTAAAATCCCAAGTCCTGTCGCATAATTCACTGATCTCTGTCTGGGTAAGCGTCGTACAACCCATCGGCAACACGAATGTTGCTGTAAGATGCTTCGCCCTCTCCGTTCTGGAAGAAGCGGATCTCAGTCGAGTTTTGGTACCAAGGACTATCATAGAGTTAGTTTACGTTCGGTGAAAATTGAAAGCGAAAGTATCAAGGAAACATACCGGACCCAGGTAGACAACACGAAGCGGGAGTTGGCGTAAACCTCCAGGACGGAGTTGTCAACAACAACAGTCAGGCTTAGAGTCTCAATGTGCTCGCCAACTTGAGCGGAGTGAGAAGTTTCGACATCCCTGGCAGCCGCAGAGTTGGACTTGCAGTGATCGTCACCCTTCTCGCCCTTTCCACCACAGTTGTGGTCACCATTTCCGGCGTAACCTCCCTGGCCACCGTGGCCACCAGAGCCTCCATGGCCTCCAGAGCCGCCGTGACCACCAGAGCCACCGTGACCACCAGAGCCGCCTTGACCACCAGAGCCACCGTGTCCCCCGTTGCCGCCATTGTTGCCACAGCTGTCATTGATGTCAAACAGACGAAGACGACCAGATTCTGGTGACGCATCAATACCGGTGGTGGTATCTGCAGCGGCACTCGTGTGGGAGCGATCGATCAGGATGGACTCGTTAGAGAATTGATAATAGATGGTGGTTGACTCAAACTCATTGGCCAAGATCTGGAAACCGGCTTGGAGGTCAGAAGCACGGCTGTTGAAGCTAATCTCAGCCTCGAGAATAAAGAACCTAGTTTCTGGGGAGCGAGTGAAGGGGGTAACACCTGCGCTGGTGATAGTCTGGTCTGGTTCGGTGAAGCTAGGGGCAGCAGTCATAGCGTCGTATGTCTCCCGGGCAATCTCGATTCCAAGTGTTTCGAGCTCAACACACTCGCCGGCTGAGTCGGAGTCAGCGGCCACACGCCACGACCCAGTCTCCTTAACGAGATCATTGTTGACCACGTTGGGGATAGCCTTGATGTACAACTCGCGAGCCGTCAACAGAGTGTTTTGCCACCCTTGCTGCTCAGCTGGGAAGCCAACAACTCCTCCGAAAACATCTCCAGTCAGCCAGACGTAGCTGATGAAGCGATCGGGGGCATCGCTTGCAGTGGAGGCCTGGGAAGTTGCGGGTACGACTTTGCCGGCGGCCGCGTAGGAAGCCAAGCCCCAATCAAAGACACCAACCATATCAGGGGTGAATGTGACGTTTTCACCCTCGGGGATTCCGAATGATCCTGCTGCCCACAGCTGGGCATGGAGGGAGGAGACCGACTCCTGAATGGGCTCGTATGAACTCTCCACGGCAATGGTCAGGAAAGGACTACCGTTGTAGCTGTATCCCTCTCTGGTGAGACCGAAGACGTTGCTAGTCTCGAAGTTGTAACCAAAGGTCTTAGACCAGTCGCCATTTCCCCATGTTGAGTTGGCAGGCTCATGGTACCATTCACCAAGATACTCCCACTGCTCGAAGTCGGGGCTGGTGTTCTGGTAGAGGAACATTCCAGGGCCGACGTCATGGATACCGCCTGAAATGATGGTATACCACGTACCCTCGGCACTGCCAAGGGTTTGATCGAGTTCAGCATTTTGGAAAACGTAGGGGTCGCGGAAACCCGTTACATCCAGGTCTGCTGGTGGCTCAGGGATAACAGGCGGGATATCCAGCTTGGTGAAGTTCTTTCCACCATCATAGGTGACCGCCAGAGACTGTGATTCACTTCCTCGAGTATAAGGAAGCGTCCAGTGGATTGGCAATGCCGACACGGAGGTGTATAAAAGTGTCGGTTTGCCGTCCACTCCACTGGGAATGACAGAGCCATCGAAAACGGCAAGGGGGTCATTGGGACCACCAGCCACGATGGAGTAGTTGCCATTAGGTCTCACATCGTAATAATGGACAAGATCATTGGTCAGGACCGCGGCAATTCCGGTACCATTGTGGAGGAACCCGACGTGGAAGGACCCTGTCTCGGGATCAGTGTAGTGTGCACATGGGTCACCAATCTGGCCGTCGGGTGGGAGCACATGGGTATGCGGCCTCCACGTCTCAAACAGAGAGAGTGCGGGGAGAGTCGCGAGATCAGGGGGTGCAGCGTTGTAGTCTTGAGCTGTAGCTCCCTCCCAGATCAGGGCCAAAACCGACGCTGCCGTTGTAGCCTTCATGATTATGATGAAGCTTTGGTTGGAGAATGATCGGAAGAAAAGACCTAGTTTGCAAGAATCGGACTGCTATTTGTATTTCATGATAGCGGAACAATATTCCCTCGCTGATCGTCCAATGTTATTCTCAGAGAAATATTGCACATTCTGACCCCCTAGAGGATCTTGTCCTAGGGTACCGTTGGGGAATTTCAATGCCAACAAAGGAGAAGCCATACATTTAACATTGGGGTGAGAGAACAGCCTAATGTGGGGGGATTGATTGTGGAATGCAAACAAAACTGTCCAAGTAGCGCCTTCATTCTTCGGAGAAATGAAACAACAAAGCTATACGGTCTCGCCAAGACAGCAACTATACTTAAATGTAACAGTGCGGGCAATATACCAAAAGGAATGCGAGACCAAATGTCATTCCTTTCAAAACAACCACAAAAACCATACTTATTTGCATTTTTTTAAGGGTGTCATAAACTCTACATTGTAGTATTCTTTTAGCAGGATCGGATCAGAACATTAGTCCACGGAGATATCGAAGTGCATTGTGTAATTTTTGCTAATGTGTCGTATATAGCCCTTGTATAGCTGAGCATGTAAAAAGTACTGTAGTGTTTATAATGTGGGAAGATGTATCCAGTAAATGTATGTGGGGCCTCCGGTATAGTTCTAGGAAATAAGCATTTTACGGACATACACCAAAGATATATATCTCTACACCATCTACCGAATTTACTGACAACATTTTATAATAATGAAAATAATGAAAATAATACTTTTAAAATTCTTAATGTTTAATGAATCTAACTGTACTAAATATATCTACTCAACTTTCCGGTGTAGTACAATACCGTGGGCCTGGATGGTTGAGGCCAGAGAGTTCGCATGGCCCACTGCTAGTCAGTAGCTTTCTGTACCATCATTTCACTTCTATCTTCGGGTAAAATATTTGTGCTCATGGTCAGCATGCCAGGCTTAGGGAGCGTGGGAAGGCAAATGCCAGAGGTGGATAAGAGAAAACGCGGGTAAAAGCAAGAGATCAAGGATAGGGCGTTCCCTGGCCATGAGAAAGTGACTCCCCAGAACCTCCAACTTTGCTACCGGCTTCCGGTTCGCGAGAGAAGGAACGAACTCAACGGCATCTGAAGTTTCCCAACAAACGGCTTGCGACTACCCTGGAGGCTATCCACCACAATGTATGTATGTTAAAACGGCTATGGATCGGACTGCATTATACCGAAAAGGATATCGCTGCTGAGGAGCAGAAGATGGCCTAATTACTGGATTCGCACATGGTGAAGGATGGAACTCATATTTACGCGCTGTGTTTTTGAGGGCATTGCAAACGAGGAGCGATTAACTAAAAGACGAGAAAGAAGAAAGAAGTGGACCCTGGGGAGGATGCCAAGCCTGAGATCGGCATGTGTCATCTTAAGAGACACCCGTGAACATCCATTGGGGCGAGAACGTCGACCACCACGCCATGGACGATAACGACGAGCTCGAGTCGTTCCGTCAACAGTGGCGCGAGGAGGTCACTCGTCGATCAAGACCCAAAGCTGCCCCTGCTCCTGCAACTCCGACTCCGACTGCCCCTCCGGCTCGTCTTCCGCCCACACGCCATGAGGCATCTCACCGGAAAGAGATCGAGGAGGAGGGTCCCCCGCTAGCTTCTTTCGACCCGGATGAGCTGGCCCAGCAAGTTGGGGAGCTGAGCGTGCAACCACCCGAAGACGACTTCTCACGTCGAGAGGTAGCAGAACCAACGTCTGCACTGGAGCACTTTGAACGAGCGGTCGAGAAGGAGGCTGAAGGAAACTTGGGAGATAGTCTGTCGCATTACCGAAAGGCATACCGGGTGAGTTTTTATCGTTACAAATGGGACTTGCGGTCCAAATACTCATATCTGTTTAGCTAGATTCCTCGGTCGACAAGTCCTACCGGAATAAGCACTATGCCCATGTATGGAAGAGGCCGAATCTGCCCGCTCCCACCGGCCCTGTCGCTGTGACGCAACAGCCTGCAGATGTACCAATCCTCCCGACACCTGAGCTCATCGCATCATTTGCACACTTGCCGATTTCACAGCTGGATCCTATCGTCGAAAACACACCACCGCCGCCTTGTCCAATCGCCACCATACCATCGGAAATTCTGGTGGAGATCCTGCGACATGTGGCGATGGATGACCCATCGGCCTTCGGTCGGATGGCACTGGTTTGCAAGCGGATGGCATACTATTTCGCCCACGAGCAGCATATCTGGAGACGAATCTGTCAAGGCCGGGAATTCGGCTTCGAGGGAATGCATTATGACTTTGCATGCGACCTGCATGGGGAACCGATCTACACTCTTGCGCCGCGATACACTCCATTCCCTAAGGACGGGCCTGTGGAAATTCCCTCGCCGCTGTCTTCATGGAGCCAAGTGTTCCAGTCCCTTCCTCGAATTCGTTTCACGGGCATCTACATCAGCACAGTCAACTACACTCGGCCTGGTGCGGCATCTTCATACTCGAACCTGTCGTGGAACAGTCCCATCCACATCGTGACTTACTACCGGTATCTGCGGTTCTACCCGGATGGCTCGGTAATCTCACTGCTCACTTCAACGGAGCCAGTGGATGTAGTCCCCCACATCAGCAAAGAAAATGTGATGTCGGCGCGCACCCCAGCACACCGGAAGCATCAACGACGTCCCTCTGATGCGGGCCATACCATCTCTGGTGTTACTGATGCCATACCACCCGTCGCTATGAATACACTGAAGCACGGCCTTCGCGGCCGGTGGCATTTGGCATCGCCCGTTGACACGTCTGAAACTTCCGAAACCCCCGCGGAAGCCTGGAAGCCCGACCTAGCCTCGGATCAGAAATCGCTTCTTTCGGACGAGCGGGATATCATCATTGAAACAGAGGGTGTAGATCCCAAGTACGTTTACACGATGCATCTATCGCTACGTTCCTCGACCGTACCGAAATCTGCTCAAGTCGGGCCGGCTCCTCCAAACCCATCCAAAAACACTAAACTAGCCTGGAAGGGCTTCTGGAGTTACAACAGACTGACGGATGACTGGGGAGAGTTTGGCCTTCGCAATGACCGAGCATTTGTGTTCCGCCGCGTACGTGGCTGGGGCTTGGATTGATATATGATTGATGACTTTTACATGAATGATTCGTTAGATACATAAAGAAATGAGGTGGGCCAGTTTTCGGTCTATTGGTATTTGGATTTGCCATTTATTCCCTTATCAAAGTCCAGCTCAGTGGTTGGCTTTCGAGAACAAACTAGCCCTGGGGTATCATCTACATCACCTGGGATGTTAATTCAGGCTTAGGTCATAGTCATCACTGCCCAGGTATGTTAGCAGGCTCAATCTCTCAACCCAAGAAAATTGAAGAGGGATATCAACAAAAGAGAAAGGATTGATCCTGAAATATGGAGTAGAGATGGTTGAGCCAACGACAAGTAAATGCATAGATGAGATTGGGTAGTAAAATAGCAAAGCGCAATTGGCGTTGAGAGGTTCTATAGGGGATTCTCGAACAAATACTCAGCTGTACATACTGGGTTAGCCGCGCGCCAACCTAGCTGAGACTTGGCCATGCATCAGCTGAAAAACAACCCCTCTCGAATCTCTTCAGAACAACCAGACCCAGTGGATTGAACGAAATTACATATTCATTCTGTTTTTCAAAATTCTAGCATTTACAAGACCTATCAGACCCCCGAAATGGTCGGCTCACCGCCAGGGACCGTTTCCGTCGCAGGACTTTCCCTTTCTACTAGCACGGCGTCTACGATCTCACCTTCGCAGGATTTTCCAAATGCCGATCTATGGGAGGATGCGCGAAATCAACTGTCGGAAGATGATAAAAAGACAATCACTCAGACTTTGTCGACTCAAGAACTGCCTCCTTCATCTCTCAACACCCCGATATCCGAGACAATCCTTGAAGCTGTCAAAGCTAAAAGAGAGGAATCTAAGAAAAGCCGGTGGAAAGTCAGGATTGGGAAAGCCGAGGTAGAGCTTCGCGGTGTGGCCGACAAAGTGATCGTCTGGTTAGACAAGTTCAAACAAGTGGGAGACATCGCGGTCAGTGCAGACCCCCTCCACGCTGGGCTTCCATGGGCGGGGATCCGCTTTTTACTCCAGGTAAGAATTTCTCGACACAATATCTTTCAAAATCTCTGACCGCAAATAGGCAGCAGTAGCAGGACAAGAGCAGACCGCGGCTCTGCTGAGTGGCTTGAACCGGGTTCTTTACGTGATGTATCGATGTAGGCTTTACGAACTGCTCTTTCAGCCAGGCCAACATAAGTCGTCGGATCAGAATCTCCGGTTGGCACTTGGGAATTTTCGCACCGCACTTCTTGACTTGTACAAACTCGTTTTGCACTTTCTGGCAGTAGCTATGCGAGTGTGTCAGAAAAACAAATTCGAGCGAACATTGGCTGCTTTCTGGTCACCTAGTGATATTTTGAAGTTCGAAGAGGATTGTCAAGCGACTGAAGATCGAGCCGAAAAGGAATGCCAAAATTGTGAAAGATACCTTCAGGGCCAAGAGCGTACTGAATCATCACAGTACCGCACCATACTGAACGACCTACCGCAACTGAAAAACCTCAAAAGCTCCATCGATCACATTGATCACATTGTTACGGAAGTGTGGGAAACTTTACAGGAAGATAGGATTTGTGATATTCTGATGTGGATTTCCAAGCTTCCATATCAAGATCACCACCAGTTTGCGTGTAAGAATCGCACTCCCGGCACGGGGGAGTGGCTAATTGAAGATAAAACGTTTCGGAAGTGGAAATCACTCGACACGTCCACAATACTGTGGCTACATGGGATCCGTGAGAGAATATTGTCGCCTATATTGACACCGTCACTAATACCAACGGTTTAGCTGGTGCTGGGAAGACTAAGCTTGTTTCCAGGGTTATTGATCATATCAAGGATAATCATCCAGACTATGGTCTAGCTTACTTCTACTGCAAGCGAGATGACGATCATCGCCGCGACCCAGAGAATATCCTACGAAGTTTTGTTAAGCAGCTGTCCAAGTTTCCCCGGAAGAACTCTCTTCACCAAGTAGTCGTGAAAGCACACCAAGAGTACCGGTTTACTGGCGGTGCATCAGCAAAATTGAGCTTCAATCAAAGTAAGGAGATTCTGTCTCAGTTAACTCACGATTATTCAAAATTTGTGATGGTACTGGACGCTCTTGACGAATGCTACGAAGAAAGTCGAGGTGATCTCATTGACGTCTTCAACTGGCTAGTTACTCAGTCCGATAATGTGAAGATCTTCGTCGCAAGCAGACGGGACGACGACATCAAATGGCAACTTGAACGGAAGTCCAACATTGGAATCGGAGCCACTCATAACCAGGGCGATATTGAAAGGTTTGTTAATGAGAGAATCGAAAACGCACAGAAAACTCGAAGAAAACCTATATCCAGAGAATTGAAGCAGGACATCATCACAACTCTTTACGAGAAAAGCGGCGGAATGTGAGTCTCCAACTCCCTGCGCACAAACATCAAACTATTAGCTTACCTGGAATCTTCACGGAGCTTCTAGGTTTCAATGGGCAGCTCTCCAGATAGAACAGATTCTCGGGCTGGCCCTCGAGATTGACATCCGCAAACGACTGGGGCAACTTCCAAAGGGATTGAAAGCAGCCTACGATGAGATCTTTTCGAAGATCCAGGCCGCAGAGGGTAGCAATCCCGATATTGCCCACCAAGCCTTTGAATGGATTTTGCATTCTCCTGTGCCGTTGGACGCTCTTGTACTACCAGACCTGATTAGTCGAAGTCTCTCTGGTGGCACGAATTTAGTCCTAGATTTAGATATTGACATAATTCTTGATGCTTGCTGCAACTTATTGGTTGTCGACCAGTACAAGGTCAGCTTCGGGGTCGAAGGCCGCTCCCTCGAATTTCGCTTCGCCCATTTGTCCGTACAGGAATATATCGAGGAACACACGGACGGTGGAAATGCTCTGTCGGTGCCACAGCCAGCACATTCTAAACACGCAGTTGCTACACTTGGCTTCCTTTCCGAGCTCAGTGGCCTATTTGAAAGATGGGATTCCGACATACCGAAACACACAGGGGTGAGATCTCCGGATATACCACCCGCATTGAAATATGCCACCGTGTCCTGGCCTTTTTATGCTAAAAGGGCATTGGAAAAACCAACATCTGAGCAACTGGAACACATTCTTTTTGATTTTTTCAGTCTTACGAACACCAAGGTCCGTGATTCTTGGTTGAGAGCAGTTTCACTCTTGAAACAGTATCGACACTGTCCCGAATACATCAGACAAATAATGCCGGTTGTCGGGAATGATATCTCTCCCAGTGCATTATACTGCGCTGCCGCACTTGGTATGGAGAGTATTGTTGCAAAGCTGCTCTCCGAAGGTGCACGGGTAGCCTCGGATAAGTCGGCGGAGAGCCCAATCATAGCAGCTGCGCGCTATGGCTGCCCAAAAACCGTCTCCCGTTTATTGTACTCATACTCCGCGAATCCGATATCTGTGATCTACCAATCGATGCGAGCTACGACGGAGAATGCGGTTGAGGTTATGTTGGTCCTTCTGAGACACGGCTTAGGTTATCAAAACTCTGATGACAATTCTTTCCAATCACTGTGCTTTCTGGCAGCAACGGAAAGCAGAGGCGGGGATCCAGTGATGCACCTTCTTCTCCGAGAATTCCCGGGATTTTCCATGACAGAGTCTATCTTGCAAGCAGTAGTGACAAGTCGATTTTTGTCCGAATCTATGATTGGTGCTCTGCTCGACCAGAACGTGACACTGACCATCACCGAAAATACCATTCAAAGGCTAGTAAGCCGACGGCGGTTCAATTTAATAGCATTGGTTCTTGAAAAGCGACCGGAAATGCCGATTACCGAGGCTACATTGAGGGTTGCAACACAGGTGACTTGGGTTGCGCAGCTTGTAGTGAATATTCTGCTGGAGAAGCGCCCCGAAACACCCATCACCGAGGAGGTATTTAATGCTGCAATGAGAAATCCAAGTTGTGCATCAAGTTTGGTGCAGCTTTTCCTGGAGAGAAGACCGGATATAGCCATCACAGAAACCACACTTGAGGCTGCAGCAACTGCTATGAGAAGGGGAAGGCCGTTGATGTCTCTCCTCCTTGAGAAAAGGCCAGACCTCCCTATCACTGAATCTACAGTTGAAGCCGCAGCAAGGAATACACGTTGTGGAGATAGCTTAATCGCTCTCCTCCTCGAGAAAAGGCCAGACCTCCCTATCACCGAAGCTACAGTTGAGGCCGCAGCAAGCAATACACGTTGTGGGGATAGCTTAATCGCTCTCCTCCTCGAGAAACGACCAAATCTCCATATTAGCGAAGCTACAGTTGAGGCCGTAGCCAAGAATAGAAGAGAGAGAGAGAAAGAGAGAGAGAATGCCCTTCGACAGTTAAACGAAGGCCATTCCTATCTTTCGCGGAGGCTGTATATCAGATCACAAGACAGGGGAAGGAATGAGAGAACCAATGGAAGGTAATGTCCTTTGACTAATGGGACGGCAATGGATTGGCCGAGGGTTTACTCCAACCTGTCATTAATGTAACGACATATGGGATGAGGATGATGTCTTTGTTTCCCAGGGACAATCTACCACCCAAGCCAAAGTGCAAGCAGCAGCCAAGAGCGCACTAGGCTGCGAATGAAAATTGGCCGAGGGAAGTGAACAAAAGAACTGGGGCAATACCAAGCTCGTATTTATACCTTCGCAATCGCCGCGAGATCTCCCTGGATACAATTGTCGAAGACAACGACTCCTTAGTTCCGCTAGATATTTAGGTAGATGCAAATTCTAGAAAGTAGTTTCCTTACGGGGGGTTATGGTTTAGATCCACTCTCACTTTCCAAGTACTGTGAGTAACTATGCAGTCTTTTTACCTCTCCAATTGTATTAATCAACCTGCCTTATGTTTACAATATTAAACTATGAATTATACGTATTACGAAGTGACCCCCTACCCTCCCTATCTTTCCTTTCCTTCCTTCCTAAGTACCCCGTTTTGCCCGAGTATGAAGAGTTGATGGTTCAGCCTTTCCCTTCGCTACCTACGACTCATGCGGGCTTGGCTACCTACTATATACCCCGACTCCTAAAGAAAAATAAGGGCGATGGTTGCTCGTGACATTGCAAAATATATATAGAGATAAAAGAGACGTTGAAATTAGTATACGTCAAAGATTATATATAGAAAAGTCTCTCACATAGAATATACTTTTTTTTTACCACCTTTGTATGCATCTAAAAAGCCCAATCACTAAAAAGGCATGACAAGGCCGCATAAGCGGTCGACTATTCTTATTGTATACAAATTCAACCTCGTTTGTTTATAGGCGTAATTGGACCGAGACAATCTTTTCGTTCTGACCTTTATTTTCCTTTCAATAAATTTCAGTGGCTTATCTCGTCAGACTTGTGAGAGAGGAGATCCCATATGTGCTTCTGCGACCGAGGTCCGTTGGAATAGTTTAACCAGCTTCTGACAGTGGTGATTAGGATACTCCATACTCCGTGCACAAACAGCTGAAGAGCATCCTTTGGATGTATTCATAATAACAAGAAAATATATACATGGGAAAGATCTGGACTATTAGACTACCAGCGCAACACCAATTAAGTAACATCTCCCATCAGCCATCATCCACAACTACAACCATCCACACACCCACTTGACCATTACTCGCGAGTAGAGGCGTGCAATGGACCCAGCGATTGCGCCCTTCGGGATTGGAGCGTGTCGTCCATTTGATACGCGCAGTCACACTGCGACCAACCTTCATCGCTTGTAGCAGGTCGTCTTTCACTGCCGACGAACTGCCGATACGTGATAGGAATGGTGATTGCAGCATGCCTGGGATCTGAAGGGCTGGTGATGTGAACAGAATCCGGAGGGAAGGGTAAGGCCTAACGAGGAGATACTGTATCATATTAGTATCCGCAATCAAGTCGCCAAAGGTGGAAATAAGCATTTAGTCTCTTACGTTTTCATACACGCCCGCAAAAGACGTCCGTAAAAGAGGTGATTTCATATCACGCAGACGAATGGGTTCGGTCTCTCTTTCCAGCGATATGTCAGGCTGCAACCACGATCGCGGGTGATGCGGAGATGCGAGGCTTCTGGTAGGTTGGAACAGATTCCCACCATGCTGTTGAACAGTGGAGAGTTCCCGCGGGCTGAACAATTCAGTTAGTTCTTGGAACTCATCCTTCTCTTCTGGTTCTGGTGGCTCCGCAATACTCTCTTCATCATGGTCTCGGTATTTGCTTTGTAGTTCCATCAAGGATTCCATTGAAGCACCCTCCATTGCGAGTCCCGAGACGTCGATCTGTGCGCCCACGAAGTATTTGACACGGCCGTGGCTGTCGCATAGGGGTGCGCATTGGAGTAGGTTCATAAATGGTGACCCGTCGCGACGACTGGTCACGTTAGTCATTTGTTTGCTGAATTGGAAAAAGACTTAGCTTAGAACATACTAGTTCAGAAACATCTCGGAGTGATGCCGGCCAGCATGTATAGCTTCGCGGAGACGGCGAACACTGTTCGCATTTGTCTTCGGACCTTGTAGAAAACGACAATTTCGCCCAAGCACGTAGTCCATGCCGTACTGTGTTGTTCTGTGGAACTCTAGTTTTGTTAGTTCAATTCGAACAGCAAGATATAAAGACATACCCTCTGATGCGAAAATGATAGGATTATCAGGTCGCGATGGGTCCGTCAAGCAAAATACTTCTGCCAGTGCATTTGAAGTCCCGCGGAACTTCATTGGCAAAGTCCCTCGGACTCGCTCCTCAACGATCTTGCTTGTAATTGCAATACATCTTGATGTGATGAATGCAGGAAGTTCCTCGGCAGTAAGAGCCAACAGCCCGTCTATAACGCGCTGCTCCAAAACTAGATTCACGGTCACCCCAGCAGCTTCCCCATCAGTCTGGACTACTGGAGGAGGCACGTCCACCGAGAGACGCACGAGCGCATTAGCGTAATGTATTGCCTTGAGCGCTTTTGAGGCATTCAGATAGTATGTGAGGGTAGATATCGATCGCGGCCGTTCCTCGAGAAGAAAGTCCCGGAATCGGGCTAGATATCGGGGGTTGTTTAGAATTGTGAGCATATGCTCCGATGAGAACATGATGTCTGCGATTCGTTCCAGCTTGTAAAGTGGGAGATCACCGCCATCGTAGGGCGCAATGAGATCATATGAGCCGTTCTCTTCACTGACAGGGTTAAACTCCGGTGCTCCCTCATTTGGATTGATTTGTTGTAGAAGAGGCAGCTCATTGGCCGTAGCGTGGCGACGCAAGCTCTTGATAGAAGGTTTTGGCGTGGGATAGACTTCCATCTCTTCCTCAATGGCATCCAAATTTTCCTGCCTCGGAGGTTGCGGGAAGTTGTCGAGTAATTGATTAGTTCTGTTTAGTTAGCGCATTTGACTTGGGTCCATCGTCATGACTTCGACATACCGCGAAGATCGACCAGACTCGCTAACCCATTCGTGGTATTCGTCTTGGATGGTTTCGGTGAATGAGCGCAATGACTCTGCATCTGGGGATCTCAGCCCATCATGGAGGCCGTCAAACCCCTGGAGCCTATGGAAACCTGTGGGCGACATGGTTTGAGCAAAGAGAATACTAGAAACTCCTGTATCGCAACGTGGAAACAAACCTTTCCTTTAATAGTTGGAAATCCTTTCCTCCTAAGATCCCTCTTGAGTGATACATCATTCGATTGCCCCAGCGTGCTGTCAGTAAGAGCCATACAACAGACACAATGAAAATTCTACGAGAGAAAGTACAAAGACAAAATGGGAGATCATAACGACACACGAGGCAGATCGATCGATGGGCTAGTGAACTCCACGAGATCGGAGTGGATCGTTGACGGATGATGCCATCCTGCAGCGGATAGCCCCTATTGAACTCCGAGTTCGAAGAAACCCTACTTGAATTGCGTGAAAATACGATACATCCATTGGATTGTTCGCAAATAGGCTACGGTTTGTCATTCCCTATTCGTTGCTTGACAGGGGTGTTTGCATTTTCTTTCCCCTTAAAAGGTCTGGGCGTGTAGATCACCACAGAGGTCACAGAGTACTTTGTACTTCATGTCGAGTACTATGCATTTATGCATGCTGAAATTACCAGGTCTTTACAAACCGGAAAATCAATGGACCGTCATGATAACGGTACCATACAAAAATACATACATTGCTTAATCAGCTATGTCCGCCGAGATTGGAAAAGAGCGGATCTTGTCATTTTTAGTTAGAGAATTTACATATGTCAGATTTACCATACATTGTCGTACCCGTCTATTTCTGTCACTTCATCTTAACTTTATTTTTATTTTTTTCCAGTCGGTCCTCAATTCAAGAATAGCTATATGGGAATAGCTCTATGGAGTGACCATATTTCATACAAATATTCGGCAATTTTCCACATCATTGAGGTTGAGAATATTCACAATAGATCTCTGTCGCTATCAGAGCACTCTGCTTCATTATACACGGTCGCGTACTTCGACCCAGTGTTAATGGACCTCGCACAGGTACTCAGAAGTAAAGTTAACATATCTCCACAGGCTTTCCATCTAGTTGGGCGTATACCAGTGCTCTCATGGTAGTGAAGCACCACCGGGAGACATAGATCTCTACGGGATCAGAATGTGTTTGGTTGTGTTAGTAGTAAATAGGTGGTGGATTGTGTTTGTCGGAGCCATCTACGGGGGCCCCATAGCAGAGAGCCCTTAAGGGGGTCTTGGCGCTTGTAATCGGCGTCTTGTACTCCGTAACCTTGGAATCGCTATGTTGTATATTCTGGCCTTCCATTTATTGTATAGAGGACAAATTTGAGACAAGGAGTGACGATGGCGATATAAATATGTTGTTCAATGCTAAACAAGATCTAACTACGGAGGAGTAGAAGTCGAGATGTCGCGAAAGAAAAATGTCAATATTGCTGTTTTGATGTTGATATATGTGACAGAAATAGACGGATACGACAATGTATGGTAAATCTGACATATGTAAATTCTCTAACTAACTAAAATGACAAGATCCGCTCTTTTCCAATCTCGGCGGACATAGCTGATTAAGCAATGTATGTATTTTTGTATGGTACCGTTATCATGACGGTCCATTGATTTCCCGGTTTGTAAAGACCTGGTAATTTCAGCATGCATAAATGCATAGTACTTGACACACCCCCAGTTCTTGAAGCTATTCAAAGCTCTCAAGGACTGCCTTTCTTCCAACTGTTTCGCAGCTGCTTCGCAACCGCTTCGCAAATGATTCGCAAGTGATTCCAACTTACCTCACCTGTCTCCTCACTGATCTCGGCTCAAATCGTCGATTTATGCAGTTTCCGCAAAACAGCCTCTGTTCTCAGAGGTCATGTGACGAATCATGTGACCTACGTCCCTCATTCCAACCAACTCTCTGAAGTGTCCCTGCTTCTGCTTCGTCAGAGCTTTGGTGAGCCCATCTGCTGGCATCGCAGCAGTTGGTACCCAGTCCACATATACTCGACCTGCGCTAACTTCTTGCTTCATCCAGCATCGATTGATGTCAACATGCCGGAGCTTCGTATGCATCGCGGCCCCTTCCTTCGTCAATAAATCGACAGTTTGCTGGTTGTCACACATGATGGATAGTGGGTGATCTGGTTCGAAGCCTAGTGCATTAAGCACTCGTCGCCACCACTGTACGGTTTTTCCTGCCTCTGCTAAAGCTAGTAGTTCGGCCTCGGTAGTCGATGTGGTGACAGTCTTCTGCTTAGTGGCCTTCCAATCGATTGGGCCACCATATAACTTGCAGATATACCCTTCGGAGCTCTTTCGATCTTTATGGTCTCCGAACGACGCATCGCTTGCAAATTCAACTGATTTCGCCGCCATCGTCAGGGTCGTATCTCGATTTCTAGGTTGTTTGTTTGGTGTTCTGATGCCGTATTCAATGGCCCAAAAGCGTGTCTCATAGAGATACTGTATGATGCGATCGACTGCATCTATATGCTTTGGTCCTGGATTTGTAAGGAATTCAGCCACTTTGGAGGTTGCTTTTGCAGCATCTACCCGGGTAATGGTGGTGGCATACTGCGCAGATCCAACCTTGGCCTGGAAACCATGAATCTGTTGCGGTGATGCCACCCCATCATAGGGTACTAGAGGCTCAATGCTCAGTGGGGACCCTATTTTTCTCTCTGTGACGAGATTGTATTTGTGTGCCATGCTCTCGATGTAGCTATCTTGGCATAACCAGAGCTTCTTCTGCTCTCTATCACGTATAATACGTATATTCAAGAACCAGCTTGCATCCAGTTCTCGAAGCTCCCATTGCTTCTTTAGATTTTGATCTAGTAAAGCGGCTTCTTTAGCCTGTTTGGGGTGATTGACGATGATGATATCGTCCACGTAGAAAAAGACAATAATGCCTTTGGTTGTAAAGATGCATGGATCTTCTTCCACTGGGGTAAGGCCTAGTTTTACTAGCACCTTTGTAGCTTCTTGCTGCCAAAGCCTTGGTGACATGCGCAATCCGTAGAGGGCTCTATGCAGGAGCCAGCACTGATTTAGTGCTTCGAAGCCTGGTGGACACTTGGTATAAACCTCGCTTTCTAGCATTGAATTCAGGAATGCGGTAACCACATCTCTCTGAATCATATCTAGATCAAAGGCGGCAACTAGTGCGAATACTGCTCTCGCTGTTTTGACAGCTAGTGTAGCAGCTCTCTTTTCTTCAGTTGACATCCACTGTAGATCTCCTCTCACGCAGATTCTTGCTTTGAACTTCTCGAGCATACCATCTGCATCAAATTTGTATGTAAATACCCACTTCAATGGCAAGATCTGGGTGCTCTTTTTGTTCGGTAATGCAACCTGAGAGAAGGTCTCTTTAGCCTTTAAGGTCTCAATTTCAAACTCCGCAGCTGCCTTCAATTGCGTGGCAAAGGGATGGATTTTTAGCCGCTTCCAGTTCTCTGGTGGTGGAGGCATCTGATCTCTATGCAGTCTGTTTTGCATATTGAGCTTCTTCGTAATACCTGTTGTAAAGGCATATAGAAGGCTTGGTGGCTCGGCTAGCTGTTTCTCGTCTAGCGATAGATATGCAGTGTAGTCTGGATCTGCCTTTGGCTTCCGTATTCTGGGGCCTGAGATGATGTTAGATTCATCAATTGACGCAGAGATCTCTCTAGTAGGCCGATCTTCTGGCTCTGGAGTAGGCGTATACTGCATCTCTTGTTGCAATTGACGCTCTATCTCTGCTTCATCTTCATCATATTGATCTCCCTCTCCCCCTTCAGCTTCGATCGACTGTATGACATTGATCGGATCTGGCGAAGATAGCGAGGTAGGAGATCTCTCATGTGGCGTACTCTCAATCGTAGCAATCGACGATAGTGCTCTTTGTGGTGAGGCTCTCTGTGGTGACATAGGGGAAGCTCCCAGGGATCTGTTCTTGATCCCTTACCTCTATCATTGAGATATGTTCTACCACTGAAGCAGGGCCTGCCATTGAAGCCGGTGTTAAAGGTAAAACAGGTGTTTCCTTTAAAGGGGGGACCCTTGGTGTCTCCTCCCTACTATCTAGAGTTTGAGCTTGCTCCACAACTCTAGATTCCTGGATTTCTTCATTTACCGCCTCTGGTGCAGTACCTTGTTCTCGGTTTTCGACGTCATCATTGAGAGTTATGCGAGCAATTGACATCGGCATACGCATCTCTATGCTCAATTCTGACTGCGCTTCTTCCATTGAGAGCACTTGGGGCCAGTTCTTAGCGCTTAGTCCATTTGTCATAGTACTAATTGCATCTTCTTCTTGCGGTAAAGGCTTCGTTTTAGAGTACTGTCTCGATTCATCGAATACAGCATCTCTTACAACTTCAACTCTGCCTATGCCTGCTCGCCCTTTGTATGGAAACCAGATCTTGTATAGGCTCTTTGAAACATAGCCTACAAGATAGCCGATCTCTGCTCTCGGAGCCATCTTGTTAGATTGTACTCTCTTCAGAAGCCTTGAGTACGTTAAGCACCCATATAGCCTCATATTCGACAGGTTGACAATTTGATCTTTTAAGCCATCTGGAGCCGCATAGCGCATCAATTCCTTCCATGGTATGATCCACTTACCATCCATCTTTGTAGGGGTACGATTCATCATATATGCAGATGCATACATCGTCTCTGGCCATAGATTGTGGGGTAGGTTCGTACCATTGAGCAATGCTCTGCCGTTCCTTACTATCATGCCTCCAGATCTCTCTGCTGGTCCATTCATCTCTGGCAAGCCAGGTGGTGCATGCTCAATGGTACACCCTTCGTCTTCAATCATAGATTCAACCTCATTGCCGGCGCTTCTCTCATTATCATAATGAAATACCCTGATCTCGATTTTCAACCAGTTTCGGATCAATGCTAAGAATTTACGAACTGCCATCTGACACTCGCTCTTCTTTATATGGGTAAATACGAAGTGACACCTTATTCCATCGAGATAGAAGTGCGTCATCCATATATGACCGTTGTAGGCAGGCTGGTTTTGTACTAGATCGAAGTGTACTCTCCCTAATATACCATATGCCTGGCCTATCTTCCGGCGAGAGATTTGCCTAGGTGCATCTGCCAATTGACAAGCTTCACATACCTGCATTTCTTTGCCTGGGTTGCTTGCAATAGTGATTCCTTCAGTCATCTCTGCCAGTTTGACAATTCGCGCCTTGCCAATGTGGCCTAATCGACGATGCCAGAGCTCAATTGAAGCCTCAGATTTTGGCTCCTGATTGGATTTCTTAGTGGCAAACGTCATTTCAGGCTTCAAATCTGATGCCTTTTGGGTTATAAAACCCCTTGTCTGGGTGAGCCATGATAGCTTCTGATCGTGGTAGATCTTATAGATCTGACGATGGCCATCAATTGTCTCAATGCAGTTTGCTCTGAGATTCATTAATAGGCCCCCCTTCATCATCAATCCATGAGATATCAGATTACTATGGAAGTTTGGCGAGTACCTAGTTTGAAATAGGTTCATCTTAACGGCGCTTCCAGTGGTAGGGTTTACACCATAGATGACCACAGTGCCTATACCGGCCACCTTCGTCTCTGTATCTCCCACTTTGACGTTGCTCTGTACGCTTTTAAAGGTGCTAAACAAGCTCCGATTGTTGCATACGTGGATTTGAGCACCTGTATCAACTACCCATCTGTCTTCTGTAGGTGTAGTTGTGGCTTCAAAATCCTTGATTTTTGTTGACATAACGGTGTCAATTTTGACTGCGTTGGTTGTCAAGAAGCCAAAGGCTTCATCGTCGAGGGTTGTATTCGCTTGCTCTTTAGCAAGGGTCCCCCTTGGCCTTCTGCATATGCAGCTCGCTTCTTGTCGACAATTGCCTTCCATCTAGGATTAGCCTTCATGGCCTTCTCCCACTTCTGTTTCAATGCCGGTGAGGGCTGGTAATTAGCAGGCCTTCTATCTTCATAGATTTCCCAGCAGGCCCAAGGCATATGAACTCTCGATTTTACCCTGTCACATGGACATGGCCTTCTTTCTAGGCCATCATTCCTTGCCTCTATAGGCTTTGCTTCTTCATTGCCTTGCCATGTCGAGAAAGCAGCCTTTGAGATGCCTCTTTGCGCAGCCGGCCTGCCATGGGTAATCTTCCAGTGGGCTTTGTACCGAGTCATGATTTCGAAGAAAGGGATGTCCTGATTATCCTGTACTCTGAGAGCCCATGTTTCATAGAATCCAGGCGACATTATAGAGATTGCTTCAAGGAATTGATTCGTGGCATCCTCTGCTTCTGGCATCCTTGCCTTCTTACACGATTGGTAAAGCGATTCCCAGTTTAGAAGCCATTTCTCGATATCGGTGTTCCGATCTAGGCCTCTATCTAGGTTCCGCCACTGTTGACGGAGCTTAGTTTTGTATGTAGGATCGCTCTCTGGTGCAAATCGTTTGTGGAGATTGAGCATCAGCTCCAAAGGTGATGGTATATCAATGATAAAGGGCTGGTAGGGAGTATCAACTGACTGCCTAATTGCCACCGCCACTAGATCTAATGCCTGTAGTTTCGACTGATAGGCTCTGTTCTCTGCATCCCAATCTGCTTTTAGGGATAGCCTCACATTGAACCAGTGTTCTGGGTATTCTTTTATGGCATCTTTGACAGAGATGATCTCTTCAGGTGGTTCCAATTTAGGACGTTCTTCCTCCTTAAGAGACGGATTGCATTGATCCCATACTTTATATGCAACTGCAATTGCTTTAATATATGAGAGCCATGCATCCCATGATTCTGTATCCTTCAAAATGACGCGGGAGGAGGCCGCGGAGAGGCTTGACATAATATTCATTATTGTCGATTTTCGTCGATGAATCTGATCTTCTTCGAAGGAGATAGGGGTGCTTCGACGATTCAGGGGTTGACCGTTGTCAAAACCACTGTGAATCGGCGACAGCTAGGTAAAAGATGGTCTATATGTTGTAGACAGATCTTAATTGGAACGAAGCCGGGCTCATAACTGACAGAAATAGACGGATACGACAATGTATGGTAAATCTGACATATGTAAATTCTCTAACTAACTAAAATGACAAGATCCGCTCTTTTCCAATCTCGGCGGACATAGCTGATTAAGCAATGTATGTATTTTTGTATGGTACCGTTATCATGACGGTCCATTGATTTCCCGGTTTGTAAAGACCTGGTAATTTCAGCATGCATAAATGCATAGTACTTGACAATATGTTTAGTGAGCTATATACTCCGTAGATAAGAGCACTACCACTTTCTAAGTGAACCTCTGAACCTCTGTCATCTGAACTTATCTAAATAACGCGTTTTCTTGCGTTTTACAAACGTGATGTATAAATCGGACCAATTATTAAATACATATCAATTAAAATAATAAAACATTACCCCGATATAAGGGCTTTTGATTCCTGTCTTCCCTGACAGGGAAAGCGATGCCACGCATCTGCTGCGACAATGGGCACGTGTCTATCACTACGCCCATATTTGCATGTCTGCGATTTATGTCGCTACCTGCAGGTTGTACGGATACATAGGCCTCATTCTAAATTGGGTGCAAAGATGGACCTATAAGCTGACTGGCCTATGCACGTTCGCTATGGAGGTCAATTAACTTAATACTAATATAAGCAGAATAGGGAAGTATAACTAGAAAGGAAAGAAAAACAAAGAGCTTAGGGAGGCGAAGTGGGTGTATTTATACTTGAGCGGGTTATTTACATCACAATACATTCAATGTTTAATCTACTTAATAAGGGAGGTCAGGATACCTGTTATATATAGCCTCTTCCTTAGCTTCTCACCCTTACGAAGTGGGTCAATGCACTTTTCCAAGGTTACTTACTTACATTACCTATTACGTTAGACTACATAACATCACTTTTATAGTTTCTTAGGGCAGTAAGCTAGTGTCTAATCCTATCTAATAGAAATTATATGACAGTTACAGAATCACAGCGGGCCTCGGGATGCTATAGATGTCTTGAATATGACCCGAGTCTGTTGGGGAATCCTCAAGCTGCAGTCTATGGGATATTACCCATTTCGATTCCTGAATACAATGTGACCACCTCGGGATGATCCATATAGCTAGGCAAGAGCGAACCGAGTCTTACCCCCTTTCTCACTCGAAAAGCAACCTTACCATCTTCCGCCAGCTTCCTCGACACCTGTTCCATGATGGTTCTAATACCATTTTCCGCACCTCTTCGTCTACCCGCGGACTATGAATTATACTAATGAGCTCAGTAACACCAACACTAACTAACGGTCCCGTCGACCCCTTCTTCCGGATCCCCACCAGACCTCTGAGACACTGATTCTCACGCCGTGCGTTCTGCGTCAGCTCGGTCGTAATTTTACCATTTAGATCGGGAATTACGACACCGTGGGCGGGATATCCTGTCTTACGCCCTTGAGATTGCAGCCTTCGGGGTGTTTCCATGTAGAGACTTAGCTGTTCTACGGCGGTCGTGCCGTGCTCGAGGATATTGTGTCCCGTGAACATGGCATTTTTCCCCTCGAGAACAAAGCATATATGGCCGTGCGAGTGGTCCAGTCCATGAACTGTACGGATAGTTGCCCCCTCCACTTTGAAGATCTGGCCCTCTTTGATACGGAGTTGTCTGTGCTCCGGCGAGTGTTTGTAGATGCGATCGGCACGGTGTGGATACATCCCGATAATATCGGGTACCCACACGGTATGATCGCCATGTCAGTGTATCAAGAATACTTGGGACAATACAATCGACCGGTCCGATAGTGTCATGTCGATCAGATCTGCGCACTTGCAGTATCCCTGTGCGGTGTCGATGATGAGGCGGGATCGGCCTGTGCCAAGAACATAGGTATTTGTTCCTTGCAATGTGAACTAACAATTAGGATCGGAACTGCCGATGAACCAGAGTGGAGCGTACTTTTCCCAGATTTTCGCTAAGGACACGAAGGACCCGTGGACTGAGCTGTTCGACATCGAGCAATTTGGGTAGTCGTGACTGCCGTGTAGCGATATAGTCATCAAAAGTGCGCACATTTCGTGTTGGTTGATTAGTTGGTAGCCTCCTTCGCCCATTTTTGTTTCTATGATGACACAGTATGGAACGCACTGCCAGATGGCCGGACTGGAAGCCTAGAGGAATCCTTTGTATATCCCATCGGCAGATTCCGGCTTGCGAGCCTGGCTCACGCCGCAGTCCCATAATTAGACAGTTCCCATATGGGCTCAGCCAACCTCCGGTATGTACCCTTGGCTACTTACTCTCAGCTACTCTCAGCTACCACCAAAAATTCAGCTCACCAATGGTCTACTGGGTCCCACTTTAGGTGGTTAAAATATGGATGAAGAGTAACAAAACCTTATTATATGCAGTTAAATTAGTTAATATATAAGGGACAGATAAGTTTGGTGTTAGCTGAACTGATCTGACTTCTTGAGTACTACCTGACGCCAGGGGTACACCTGGAGGGCTGGGTAGAAGAATTATGTAATGAAAATCCCTGAATTACGATCACATGTGCCTTCATATAGCAGCTTTTGATATCAAAATCCGTTCATCACCACTTTTTTTGGGTGGGTTGACATGAACCTTTTTCGATGAATTATTTACATAAAATTCTATCTATACTGTATCAAATTGTATCACATCGTATATAGAGCGGTGTAGTGGCCACGTAGAGTGAAATCAGAAATTAAGGTTATTTGGGCTGACCCCTGGCGTCTATAGATCTGCGTATCGGACTATTTAAGTCTATTGAGTGGCGATCGATAGATTGATCACTAGCTACATAATCAGTTTAACTCATTATCTTTTATATTTAAATCTTTCCAGACACACTTGACTGCCTATCTACTTCTTGCCGTGCAATCCAACGTCATTACCACAAAGTACGGTTGACAAGAGCATGTCGACATCTTCCTCCTCCCCTTCTACAACCTCAGTTGACATGGGAGTATACACACCCCCAGCTGAGGCTGAGGAGCTCCCCAAATTCAAGGCCATCTACTTCAGCAACGAATTCCCCACAGACGACCTATCAATTCTTCTTCGTCGGCTACACAACCACAGCAAACAACGTAGTCATGCCGTCTTGGCTCGCTTTTTGAATGAAGCGACAAGGGTACTGCGGAATGAGGTCAGCCAGTTACGCACTGAGCTCGCTGAGCTTGTTCCTTCCTTCGAGTCCGTGACAGCCCTAGCGGGTGAGACGGAGCTACGTAAAGGAAGGCTTTCCCAGTCCATTAATGGAGTGTTGCTTTGTGTCCTACAGCTAGGGACGTACATTGGGTATATCACTATTTTCCTGGCTATTTTGGTGGTTGCTAACAACCTAGACACTGCGAACTATATCCAGAAGACCAGGCAAGTAGACCAAACACAGTACTGACTGGCCTTGGGGTGGGAATTCTCGTCTCGACAGCTGTTGCAGTCTCCACATCTTTGGATGACTTGGTCATCGCAGGTATTGAAGTCCTGCAGATCGCCTTTCGTCTTGGTGTGTTTGTGGGCGATGTTTCACAGAACCTAGAAGGAGTGGAGACAGCGCCCTCCGATTCATGGGCATATGTCGTGTACGGATTGACTGTGGATGAAGCCCAGAAAGAGCTGGATGACATTCAAGCGAAGGAAAACACCCCATCAGCCAGTAGGATATTTGTCAGTGCCGTTAGTGAGACCTCTGTCACTGTCAGCGGTCCCCCATCCAGACTCAAAGCCCTCTTTCGCAATTATGCCTCCTTTAGAGATCGCAAATTCGCGCAATTGCCGGTATATGGAGGGTTGTGCCATGCCCCTCATATCTACACCTCTCAAGATGCCCAGGCTGTGCTCCCATTTCCCTCTTTGTCCCCACGCTTCAAGCCAATCGTCCCTGTCATGTCTAGCAGCTCAGGCGAGCCATTTGTTGCCTCGACTGCTGCAGACCTGTTTGAGCAGGTAACCTCCGAGCTCATGACCAAGCAAATTAAATGGGATAATGTCACTCGGGGTGTGGTGGAGAAGGTGGAGAAGAGTTATGTGCGCGATGTGAACATCAAGGTGTTTCGTCATTCACTCGCCGCCCAACTGATATCGACTGCGTTGACTTCCACTATCACTGATCTGCCCGTCGAAACAGATGATCTCCTAGCATGGCTCACTACTGATATAAACCACGAGAAGTACGCACCCGGAAGCTCTATGCAGTCAAAGATCGCTATCGTCGGCATGTCGTGTCGTATGCCAGGCGGTGCAACCGACACAGACAAGTTCTGGGATCTTCTAGAGACTGGACTAGATGTTCATCGAAAGATCCCCGCTGATAGGTTTGATGTTGACACGCATCATGATATTACGGGAAAGAGGGTGAACACCACACACACGGCGTATGGATGTTTCATCGATGAACCGGGCTTGTTGGATGCGCCATTCTTTAATATGTCGCCCCGTGAGGCTGAACAAACGGATCCCATGCAGCGCTTGGCTATTGTTACGGCATACGAAGCCTTGGAGCGAGCAGGGTACGTAGCCAACCGCACGCCTGCTACCAATCTAAACCGTATTGGAACCTGGTATGGTCAGGCCAGTGACGACTATCGTGAGGTCAACACTGGCCAAGAGGTCAGCACTTACTACATCCCCGGTGGATGTCGTGCCTTTGGTCCCGGGCGGATTAACTACTTTTTCAAATTTGCTGGACCCAGCTTCAACTGTGATACGGCCTGCTCGTCCAGTTTGGCTGCTATCCAAGCGGCTTGTACTGCACTTTGGGCCGGTGACGTTGACATGGTCGTAGCAGGAGGTCTCAATGTGCTGACAAACTCTGATACCTTCTCTGGTCTCTGCAATGGCCATTTCCTGACAAAGACTCCCAACGCCTGCAAGACATGGGACTCCACAGCTGATGGGTACTGCCGTGCAGATGGTGTCGGGTCGATTGTGATGAAGCGACTCGATGATGCATTAGCAGATAACGATAATATTCTTGGGGTTATCCCAGCAGCAGCTACCAACCACTCTGCCAATGCTGTTTCTATCACGCACCCACACGCTGGCCACCAATCCGACCTGTACAAGCAGGTAATGGCGCGGGCAGGGATTGATCCACTTGATGTTAGCTACGTTGAATTCCACGGCACTGGTACTCAAGCCGGCGATAGAGAAGAGATGGAGTCCATCACAGATGTATTTGCCCCCTCAAAGGGTAAGAGGCGTACCTCCAATCAGCCACTCCATATTGGTGCTGTGAAGGCAAATGTCGGCCATGGAGAGGCTGCCGCCGGTGTGACCGCAATGATCAAGGTGCTGCTCATGCTGCAAAAGGGTGCGATTCCCCCCCATGTCGGAATCAAAACAGACATCAACCCTGGCTTCCCTAAGGATATGGACAAGCGCAACCTACACATTCCTTTCAATGCCACACAGTGGTCGCGCGCACCGGGCAAGAAGCGCATTGCGGTAGTCAACAACTTCAGTGCTGCTGGTGGTAACACTACCCTTGTACTAGAGGAAGGACCCGTGCGAGAGAAGGTAGGATCGGATCCTCGCCCTAGCCATGTGTTTACTATCTCTGCGAAGAGTAAAGTTTCACTCAAGGGAAACATTCAACGGTTGATCAGGTACTTGGAGAAGAACGGCGAGGTCACGATGGCTGATCTGGCGTACTCGCTTACAGCGAGACGCTGCCACCACAATCACCGCGTGGCAATCAGCGCAGCAGATGTCGGTAGTCTCAAGCAGCAGCTTGCCTCTAAGCTTGATGGGATTGATTCCATGAAGCCCATTCCCCCATCGGACCACCCCCAGTTGCCTTCGTCTTCACTGGTCAAGGAGCCGCCGAAAAATCGATGAATCTGCAGCTGTACCATCACTCGCCGTTCTTCCGTGCCCAGCTTGAATCTCTGGACCGTCTAGGTCAACAGCACGGCTTCCCATCGTTCATCCCTGCTATTGACGGGAGCTTCCCGAAAGACCACGCATGGTCCCCGGTTATTACACAAGTTGCTCATACCAGTGTGGAGATCGCGTTGGCCAAATATTTTGAGACCCTAGGCATTAAGCCAGAGGTCGTCGCTGGACATAGCCTAGGAGAGTATGCGGCGTTTGTCATTGCCGGTGTCCTCTCAGCTAGTGATGCGATTTTCCTGGTTGGTTCACGTGCCCAGATGCTCCAGTCACTTTGCACCGCTGGAACGCACAGGATGATGGCTGTGAAGGCATCAAAATCGGAGATTGCGGATGCTGTGAAGGAGCTCCCTTACGATCTTGCCTGTGTTAATGGGCCTAAAGAGACTGTTCTCTGCGGTACGACAGAGCAGATGGAAGCCGTGTCCACCCCTCTCAAGGAGAAAGGTTATAGAGTTATATTCCTTGACGTTCCATTTGCCTTCCACTCTACCCAGACAGATCCTATCTTAGATCTCTTCGAGGAGACCGCGAGAAAGAGCGTTGTTTTCCGTCCCCCCATGCTGCCTATTGTATCACCCTTACTTGGCAAGGTTGTTTTCGATGAGAAGTCGCTGAATGCCCAGTATCTACGCCAAGCGACGCGTGGAACAGTTGACTTCCTATCTGCTATGCAAAACGCGCAGGAGACATCGATCGTGGACAAGGATACAGTTTGGGCTGAGATTGGTCCTCATCCGGTTTGTGTTGCGTTTGTCAAGGCCAGTTTCGATCCTGCTCCTCTTACGGTGGGCTCTTTCCGTCGGGGTGAGGACAACTGGACGACACTCGCCCAGAGCTTGGGGCAGCTTCACACTGCTGGAGTTCAGGTACGATGGAGCGAGTTCCACAAACCGTTCGAGGGTTCTCTACGTCTCTTGGACCTGCCCACATACAGCTGGAACGAGAAGAAACACTGGATTCAGTACAGCGGCGATTGGGCCCTGACAAAAGGAAATACCTTCTACGATGCAGAAAAGGGAATCAATCGCCAAGCTGTTACCGCACAGGTGTCAAGCCTCAAGACTACGACTGTTCAGCAAATTATTGAGGAGAAGTTCGAGGGATCGACTGGCAAGGTCGTCATGCAGTCTGATCTGATGCAGCCCGACCTCCTAGCTGCTGCACATGGGCATAAAATGAACGACTGCGGTGTTATCACATCGGTGAGTATCTATCTAAGACTCTGTTTTGGTGTTGTACTAACTTGATAGTCCATTCATGGCGACATTGTCTATACATTGGGCAAATACCTATACAAGAAACTTATTCCCAGTGCAACAACTGTGGATATGAATATCACCGACTTGGAAGTCACGAAGGGACTTGTAGCTCAAAGGAACACCAAGGTGCCACAGTACTTCCGCGTTACAGCTACTACAGCCGATATCAACGCCGCTGGTGCCGACTTAATATGGCAGAATGTTGCCAACGACGGCACAGTCTCTGAGCCATTTGCCACCTGTCGTGTCGTCTACGGATCTGCTGACACATGGCTATCGTCGTGGAGTCCACTGGCCCACCTCGTGCAGGGCCGCATCGAGACCCTGGAACGTCTCGCAGCCGAAGGAATCGCCAACCGCTTCTCGCACAAGATGGCGTATACTCTCTTCAGTAGCAGCCTCGTGGATTACGCCGACAAATATCGTGGCATGCAGGCCGTCGTGATGAACGAGTTTGAAGCCTTCGCCGATGTCACCCTCAAAGACGTCCAGGGCGGAGGTGATTACGACGTACCCCCTTATTTCATCGACAGCGTCATCCATTTGGCTGGCTTCATCATGAACGTGTCTGATGCCAGCGACACCGCAAAAACATTCTGTGTGACCCCTGGATGGGATAGTATGCGCTTTGCTCGCCCTCTGGTCTCGGGGCAAAAGTACAGGTCCTATGTCAAGATGATCCCAACAGAGGCCGACCCATCTGTGTACCTTGGGGATGTCTATGTGTTCCAGGACGGTGTGATTATGGGAATGGTTGGAGGCATACAGTTCCGCCGCTACCCACGCATTCTGATGAACCGTTTCTTTGCTGCGCCGGACTCCTCGGTCGCCATGTCTTATGCTGCCGCTAGTTCTTCTAGTCCTGCTGTGCCCGCACCAGCCCCTGCTCCAGCTGTATCTCAACCTAAGCTTACAGTGCCCGACCCTGCCCCTGCACCAACTCAGGCGCCCACGCCAGCTGCCCCCGCTGCAGTTGACTCGGACAGCACATCTGGCAAAGCCTTTGTCCTGATTGCCAAAGAGGCCGGCCTCGACCTCTCTGATCTCGCTGATGACGCTGCATTTGCCAATATTGGAGTGGATAGTTTGATGAGTTTGGTGATTGCAGAGAAGTTCCGCGAGGAACTGGGCATTGTTGTTGCGGGAAGTTTCTTCTTAGAGTATCCCACAGTCGGTACTTTGAGGACATGGTTGGAAGAGTATTACAGTTAGATTTACGACTTTCCTACCTGTTTCTTTGTCTGGCGTTGACTGTGAGGCGGGTATTTTGGGACATCAATTCTTCAACAGTTGGGAGTAAGTGCGTATAGTTATTTAATTCAACAGGATCTGGATGTTAAATCCATGTTCATTTCGGTAGACATCCTTCCAACTCCATATTTCTATATAATGTTCTCATCGCTCTCGGTCGTGCGTTTTAGTTCGAAGTATAAGGAGTTACATCGGCTATGGATGTAAGCCCTTCTTCTCTCCATTCTAATGTTGGTAGTTGAACTCCCTATCATCTTACTTGATCCTCAAGCCACCCACCCATGCACAACGATTTCATAAGCAAAACTGTTCATGAATGAGAGATCCATATCAGGTCGTACGAGCGTCAAAAGCAGGTTGACTAAATGATCAACAGAACTCGAAGTACAGTTGATTTGAATGGTAAGACATCCCACGTAGACGCACAAGGAATTACAATATCATAGATTTAATATCCTATCTACCTAACTACCTCTTAGCCTTATGCGACCTCAAACTTGCAATTACTCAACTTCGACCTTCTTAACTTCAACATCATCTGGCTCCGTCTTCGGCACTTCAATAACAAGCACCCCATCCTCTAACTTGGCTGAAATTGAATCACCATCTACCTTGGGCGGATTCATCGGACTCCCTAACCGCACCTTCCGCTCAAACGCCCCAACCTTCCGCTCATCCAGCGCAATTTTCTTGACCAGGTCCTCAGAACCAGGTCGACGGATCACCCCCGTGATGCTGATTGCGACCGCCTTCGGATCCCAGTTGAGTTCAATATCTTCCTTCTTGGCGCCGGGAAGCGGCACATGAATCACGAATGCCTCAGGGGTGTTGAACACGTCAACCTCAGGCTTATATTTGTCTGATCCTGTGGTCGGAGATTTGTAGGGTACTTGTTGACTGGTTACCCAGGGGCCATGGGAGGCATGCGGCTCTTCAAACCCCCTTCGTCCGAAGCCTCCAAATGAATGGCCACCGAAATGTGGCTGGCCGAAGAATCCGTGCCCGCCCCATCCTCTATTCCCATGTCCGCCATGTGGACCACTTGGGAACGGGTGTGGCTGTTGGTGGAAGGAGGTCTTGTCCTTGTCGTCCTCTTCCCAAAGAGATGGATAGGGCTGTCTCAGCGGAGCTGCACCCAAATAGGTGTGTATCTTGTGGCCATCGGCTGGTCCAGGGTAAGGGTAGGGCTTGCGCGGGCAAAGCTTGGTCTTGTCGTCATCCCAGGGGGAAGGGTATGGCTTTCTACCCTCTGCGGGGCCAGAGTAGGCGTGGGGCTTGTGCCATGGAAGAGGGCCAGGATAGGTGTGCGATGGATGACCTTCTGCAGGGCCTCGGTATGGATATGACTTGCTAAAAGCGGAGCCATCTCCGGCTTCGTTGTTGGCTTCCTTTGCCTGGTCTTCGTCGCCGACCTGAGCCCATGGAGATGGGTAAGGATACCCTGGGCGGCCGACTTGACCGTTGCCTGAGTTCAAAGACCACCGGTTGGGATTAGGATGGGGGCCCTCACCACGAGGAGGGAAGAAAGGGTGAGATGGGGCCTCCTCGTCCATGTTGGCGGCAAAGTCCGAGGAGGGGAAGTTCTGGTTGAGAGCTCTGATGGACATACTTCAAGTTGAGATGCAGGTTTGGTTGGAGGGAGTTAATATAGTACGTATTGTAGTAAGTGAGACTGTAGTTTTTGGTGAGAGATGAGGGTGTACAACCATTCTGGTTATCTGCCTTTTATAGAGAGTAGTTTCAGGCAGCCAGGTTCGAAAACTTAATGTCGTACGGAGCACGGAGTATGTTGTGGGTATACAGCAATGGACTTTGTCATGGCGTGGTACGGGTGGATCTGTGGCGCCGCCAACTTTGGAACATTCCAGCCAATAAAATAAATTGTAGCAGGAAAGATCGCCCCACTGGATGGCTGGCGGACATCTTAACCCCCGAGCTCTTAACAGCTACATCCATATCTACCACGCTGTTGGGCTATTTAGCTTACTCGGACATTGTCCCACCCGAGCCGCGTTCGAACTGGCCCCTTTTCCACAAATACATGGGAAAATGGGGTTGACAATTTGCCTGATTGAGGAAGGAGTGTACCACACAGTCAAATCCCCTAGGAAATTTAAGCTGATGGGCCGAGCGGCAGTCTACCCCTACAACGCTCTGCTGATTCCAAGAAGCAATCCCTCTGACCGGCTTGGTTTCATTGGACCGTCACTGGAACGGCACGGCGCCAACCCACAACCATCAGTGCATTGCATATGTTGTATCGTGATAGATGGTAATCCCCGTGTATTACCGTGCATATATAATAATCTGTGAAAGATTTGAAGCTCTCTCGTACTTAACAGAAAGTGGCAGTATACAGTCCAATATGGAGCTTAAAGCGACAAGTAAAGCAAGACAAACTCTCACTTTACCTTCATTTCGACCTCTTTTGTGCCCCCTCCTCCAACTAGTTAAACCCCCATTTTACCTCTTTCCCATTTCTACTGCCCCCATCTTTATTCACCAACTTGGTTTGTACTACAACATGAAAACTAACGATGCCTTCCTGGCGAAAGACAGCGAGCCCCCTCCGAGCCCAACCCGAAAAAAACGCGACCGGGATCTAGAGCTCATGCAAAACACCACCTCCAGAGCCTTACCAAAACCGACCTAGCTTGTATCCCAGAGGATGAACACCAATACTCCAAGTCATGGGCTGACAGAAAGAAGCCACCAAGCGACTTAAAGCTGAAGACAACTAGGAACGAAAACTCTGAGCATACGACGAAGAAAGCCCAACTGACTTTGGCTCAAACTCAACTCAGAACAGCTGGATGTGGCGCCTGTCTGCATGCAGTACGAAGCTAGCACCGAAGACGATCAATGGGTGCCGGCACCAAGATGAACCAAACTGTCTGAGGAGGGCGTATACGTGGCATCAGTGTATAATCCAATGTTGATCCAGTATTGAGCGCAATAAAAAATTTACGTAGATTGGAATCCAGTCTCTCACGTCTTTCCAGATTCCAAAGTATGGTGATCCATCTTGTATATTTTCAGGAAGGATGTACATAAAAGGAGTAAGATCTTAACAGTTCAATCACTGAGAGTTACTTATATAAAGCGTAATAATGGATTTGGAATTGAATTAGAATGGTACAAAACCAACACAATAAATTGACCTATCTCAAGCTAAATTTAAGTTGTCAAACAAGAGAAAGGTTCCGCTGGTATACTCTAGTTGGCCCATGCCCCTGAGACACTCATCTCCCCTCCCTATCCCTTATTCTCGGCATCGGGCTTTGGCTGTCCCTTCTTGACACTCTTCCACTCCAGAGTAGCCGTACCCAGTACTGTCAAACATGAAATGATCATGCCGACCTGAAACACCTTCCGCAGGGCTTCATTGTAAGATTGAAGGACCATGTCGTGCAGATCCGTCGGCATAATATCCAGCAGTTCCGTGACACCCCCGGAGGTGACAAGATGGCGGTTGAACCCCGGCAACCCGGAAAGTCTCTTCACGAGCTGACTAGCCAGGATATTCTCCCCAACTGACACAAACACGGCTGCTCCAATCATCTGACCGAAAATCATCAGTGCTAGCCCGGATGGTACATCGGGCTTCGGAAGAACGGTCTGAGCAGCAAGGTTGGGGACTTGGAAACACAATCCCAGGCCCATCCCGTAGACGATCTGATAGCCGATCCACTTTCCCTCGCTTGTGTCTACCTGGAACGTAGAAAGGAGACCAGCTCCGACGGACATTATGCAGGATCCGGTGATCGCTAGTGGGGTATAGTATCCAATCTTGGAGTTTGTAATTCCACCACCGATTGAACCGACGACCATCGATATCATCATCGGTAGCAGGCGGATACCGGATTCCACGGCGGAACTGCCCTTGATGGATTGGAACCAGATTGGGAGGAAGTACACTGCGATTCAAGTCAGCAACAATCTATAATACTTGGTGATGGGGTGCGTGTACCAAAGATATAGTTTCCAGAGCCGACGCAGAGTGTCTGCCAAAAGCCTGAAATGATGCTTCGCTGTGAAAAGATGCGCAGCGGGAGTGTTGCTGTCTTTGGGAGGAAGACCTGGACAGCAACAAAAGATAGAAGCATGACGGCCATGAGAACCATGCAAGCCACAACATGACCGCTGCTCCACTACAAAATGTTAGCTGTGATCGAAAATCAAGGGCTTCAAGACTTACAGAATATCTCTGGCCTCCCCACTGAAGCGCCAATATTAGACAGACAACTCCAGCCACCAGAAGTGTAGTACCAAAGAAGTCCAGTTGTAGCAGCTTATCCCTCCAGGAGACTTTTGCTGTATCTTGCTTGGGGATCTTGAGGCAGAAAGTAATGAAAACAATGGCAGCGCCGCCAATTGGCAGGTTTATATAGAAGCACCATCTCCACGTGACGTTAGATGCAAAGGCGCCGCCAATCAAGGGTCCAACTACAGAGGCAATGCCGAAAAGGGCGCCGAAAAGGCCCTGTATTTGTGGACGTTTCTGGAGAGGCACGGAATGAATGATGCACATTATCTGAGAGCCCGTCTGTCAGCAATTAGCACAAATGGCAGGGTCATGGAGTTAAATTACAGTGCCAGTGAGGATACCAGCAGCGCCAACTCCACAGATCGCTCTTCCGATTATAAAGGCCACTGAATTCGGAGCCGCTCCACAGATAGCAGAGGCAACCTCAAACACTAGAATACTAGCAAGGAAGACGATTCTGACCGGAAAGAGCTTGTAGAGCTTGCCGAATAAAAGTTGGAATGCACAGCATGTCAACAAGTAGGCACTTCCGTACCAGCCAACGTCCTCGAAGGAGTTGAATTCATCGGTGATATTGGGTATGGCCTATTAATTTCTTATAACTTAGCGCTGCAATTAGGTCGGATTTGATGTATATGATACACATACCGTCGAGATAATTGTTCTGTCTAGCGCGACCAAGAACATGGCGACAAAGGCCGATACAATCAGACAGATAGCCTTAAGGGTTGACTGATTCTCGGGCGCACCCGGAGGACCTCGAGGGGATCTAGTTTTCACTGGTCCTTCATCTTTGACAGATGCATCGGCAGCCGTCTCCCTATGTTGTTTTATCAACTGGGCAGCGTCTAACGTAGCCAATTTTGTGGTCTCAGAGGTTGAAGTGCGTGATGGAGGCATGGCGATTGTTGTATTCATAGATCCACGAACCAAGACACGATCAGTGGGTTGCCAATATAGCCCAGACCAAAATGAATAAATTAGGAAATCTTCTATATTTAAAAGGACACGAGGGGGAAAACATGGTCGGTGATTTCGCGTTTGGAAGACGATCAATACAATGGTCGGCGATTAGAAAGTGCGAGGGTTAGCAAGCGGCGTTGGTTTCGGACCTTATAAAGCCCGACTTTTCCCCCGAGGCGCTTGAATTGTCTTCTTCCCCCAACCAATGCGGGCTTCGGGGTCCGTGTTCTAACAACTTTGGCTGCCGGAACAGCATCGCTAGTCACATGCCATGGCGACACCAATCTCTCTATCCAAACATACAGCTACGACCAAGTCCCGACGCGTGCTGGCCTGCGTGTTGTGTCAGCAACGCAAGATCAAGTGCGATCGTACATTTCCTTGCGTCAACTGTGTACGTGCCGGCGAGCAGTGCGAGCAAGCAACCCGCCAGCGACGCCGGAGGTTTGTTGAGAGAGACCTGTTGGCGCGCCTGCGACACTATGAGAGCCTGCTACACCAGCATAACATCAAGTTCGACCCTCTCCACACGCCTACTAGAGACCATAGCTCTCCCACCCAGGATGGGCCAAATGAAATTCCAGAGGGTGGCCAGTCGGAACGCACTGTTCTTGAGACTAATACCAACTTGTTAAAAGAAAAGAAAACAATAAAGCCTAAATCATTGTACGAGATTCCGCCCTGTTGATTTCGTGAACACGCCTGTGCATAACCCTGAGATGACTAATCATGCAGCAGGAATATCTGGCATGCCATGAGCCAAAAGGTATGATGGACTCTATAAGTGATCATCAGACTGACTGACAACTGGGAAAGACCGTAGCTTCCAAGGATGATGACGGAAATGACAGTGAAAATGATGAAACCGACAACGGGTTTCTACACGACAGTGATGACATACGCCACGCCGTGATCAAGAAGGCATGGAACCATATGTTTCAAGGTAAAACTAACGACCATCTTTTATTCGGTTCACCGGTAGGGAATGTCGATGAACTTTCTGCTTTTCATCCAACCCAGGTACAGATTTTTAGGCTCTGGCAGATCTACTTGGATAACGTCAATCCTCTTCTCAAAGTAACACATACACCCACCCTTCAAACACGTATCATCGATGCTGCGAGTGATATCGCGAATATTAATCCCACATTGGAGGCATTGATGTTCAGTATCTACTGTGTCTCCATCCTAAGTCTCACAGAAGATCAATGCAGTGCGTTGTTCAAATCCCCCAAAAAGGATCTCTTGACGGCCTACCAATCTGCATGCCAACAAGCGTTACGAGGTTGTTCTATTCTACGCTCCAGTGACCGGGAGTCCCTGACCGCGTTGTATCTGTACCTAGTAGGTGTCTCAAACCGATTCATCCACACTTACTAATTTTTGCAGGTGTCGATCAGACCTGACACAGACCCTGCATCTCTCTCATCGATGCTTGGCGTTGCTATTCGAATTGGTCAACGTATAGGAATCCACAATGAGTCAATGTATGGTAAATGTTCCGCTCTAGAGGCGGAGATGCGCCGCAGACTCTGGTGGTCGCTCATCATCTTTGATAATCGCATCTGCGAAATGTCCGACTATAAGACAGCGTCGCTGGCTCCTACTTGGGACTGCCGCGTTCCACTCAACGTCAGTGATTTCGAGCTCCAGCCAGGTATTAAAATCCCACCTGCAGCAAACAACAAACCGACAGAGATGGTCTTTGCTGTTGTGCGTAGTGAACTCGCCGACTTCGTTCGTCACAGCGCCTTCCACCTCGACTTCACCAATCCCATTTTGAACACGATGGCCCCTCGATCTCCCACCGTGGACGAGGCGGAGCGGCTTCTGGCACTGGAGAAGACGATAGAGGAGAAATATTTGGTATCCTGCAATCCAGAGAACCCACTGCACTTCATGACGATCTGGACAATGCGGGCCTATCTTGCCAAGAATCGTCTGTTGCAACACTACTCCCAGTACTCAGCAAAATCCGTGCAGCAGACATATCTACAGCGTAAAGTTGGCATCTCCCACGCGCTGCGCATGCTAGAGTGCGATACCAACCTTATGACATCACCTCTCACCAAAGGATACTTGTGGCATGTTCACTTTCAGTTTCCCTTCCCCGGATATATCCACCTGCTGCAGGATTTGAAGAGGAGGCCTGTCGAGGGGCATACAGACCACGCGTGGGAGGTCATGAGCAACAACTATGAGGCCCGCATGATGGATACTAAGGATGACGAACGTCCCTTGTTTATCGTCTTCTCTCGGATTGTACTTCAGGCTTGGGGGGTACGTGAACAGGTAGCCAGACAGCAACAGACACCCCTAGTGCCACCGCGGATTGTGTCGAATATCCGGAACAAATTAATGCAGATGATGGCGGATTTTGGACAGGATGCAGACACGGTGCAGCCTGGTGGCACCTCGGATCTCAATGCAGACAACCTGCCCATTCCAATGCAGATGGATTTCAATGTGCCCGGGGTGGCTTATGGCGCTGGAGGCCAGGTGCCTATGAGCTTGGGAGCGTGGGGATATCCCGAGATGTCTGGGCTGAGCTCCATGGACGTGGATGCAAATCAGTTTCTTTTGAACACGATGGAGTGGAACATATTGCATGCACGAGGCAGGTGACAGTGCTCCTCGGCAAAAGACAATCATCTCTCAGTCGCAATGTTTGTTGCGACTTCTCTTTTAGACCCTTGTTTGGGAATGATATCTCGGACTCAGGTGGGCTATAGGCAGTGATGTCGGGTAGCGGAGTCAGGGTGAGCAGCTGACTTTTTGCGTGCGTCGTCTGGGATCATATAATATAGCTCCAATAGGGCCACAGTCACAAGGCCACAACTACGCATTATTTGTAGGAGTTTAATAATCTACCTTGGTATAAGGCGCTTTATATTTTAGGATAACACTTTGGATAACTTCGTACACACTTTCTATCGATAGTAAAAAGAATATTGATAAATAGGTCAGCGTACATGCAACGTAGAAAGCAGTAGAAATATCAACTGTACAGAGGAGCTTCTGATTATATATGCCTACATGTAGGGATCGGCAGCCTACCTATGATGGGACCTGATCTTATTGAGTGACCTTCATACAATCCGAATGCTGCCATGGCCCGACTATTATACAAAAATCAAAACTTGTACATCATCACCATCCTCAACTTCATCAGAAACCTCATCTTCTGAGGCAGCATCTCCGAAGACGCAAGGGACTAAAATAGACCAAAATAGATGACCGTTCCTTGACTTTTCGAGAAAGTTGTCATCATTGGGTTGACCTCCCGCAACCCCATCTAACACGAAGTTATACTCATGATCGATCTCCTCGACTAGCCTCAAATGTTGCTTGGGAGATAACTCCCTGCAGACATCCAAAATGACATCCCCTCCTCGGCCTGGGGAATCGTGGCCGCCTGGATTGACTTCATTTGGCTGCTATGCTGCTACCGCATTCCTAGTGTTTGGGCATAGTAGTGAAAGTAGAGCTCACAAACCTTGTCCTGCTGGCTGCTGTCCCGATTTCTGGCGTCTGGGTCCTGGATTGCCATTCCCATAGCAGTGCTGACGATCTTGATGGAAGATGCTCTCACAATCATTCCCGGTTTGCGTTTTGTCAACTGATCGACCATGACTTGGCAAGGATCTGGTCGTGAGCCTGGATCCTTTCACGGATTCCTTTTACCTCGTCCGTTTTTATCCACGTCTTGTAGATGCCTCCAAAGCTTCTAGGTGAGACCTTGCGCTCCACATCAAACTATTCCCGGGTGGCCTTCTCGACCTTTGCCACTTGGAGCCAGAATTTGAGGTCAAAAGGCCTGTATCCCATCCTTCGTTTCTTGGAAATCATGAGGTCGCTTGCCAGGTAGTCTTGTCTTTTCTTTTGAGAATTTTCGTCGCTTCTGATTTTGGTTAGAACAATTCAATTCGTGTGTCGAGTGTATGATGAATGAGGAGATAGGATTTGGGAATCGAAGGTTGGGAGATAGACAAGTTGGAAGACGTCAATGCATGGGACCATTGGAAGATGTAAAAGTAACAGTAAGCGATGAGAGTAAACCTCGGAAGTTGGGAGTCCCTGGAAAGAGCTTAGCTGGAAGTAACTACCGTACAAGTTTATTATCTTTTATAACCCGACTATATATATCGGAGCCTGGACTATCCGAGCGTAAGGCTCGGATATGGTGGTCCATTTGGCACTCATCCGAGAGGGCCGAGCCAACTGGACTATTGTCACCAATAGTAGCATTTAGTATGTATGGATACAACTTTACGAGACAATGTGCCATTTCAGCTGTTCCTAGAGGTCATATGTAATCTGTCTAAATCGTTATATCACGTAATTAAATGATCAAGTTATCTTACTTCAAACCCACTGGAACAGCTTCAACTTTTGTTTGTCGTTTGTCGCCCCACCACTTCAGTCCTTCATCACCTTCATCACTTCACCTCTTCAGCACTTCATTGTTTCACCTCTCCACTTTGTCAAACCACATCTTCACTCTTCTATGCTTCCACAATTTCTTGCATTGACTACCCCTTTTTAAACGGAAAATGCTAGCCCCAGAGATCGCCAACCTGGTGCAGTTCTTCTATCCTATCGGCAACACCCCCGCTGTCTCCTTGACTCAGGATCTGCCATCAAAGAAGAAGGCCGATCTACTGCTTCTCGGTTGTGGAGATGTGCGCCACATCCTCTTTACAGTACACACGGAACAGCAGTGTCGCGATCCACGTCCTTTAGACGTCACATGCTGCGATGTAGACACTGCTGTGATTGGTATGACGACCGATTCCAATTTCAGGTCCAAGAAGCTAATGAGAAAAATTATTCACAGCTCGCAACATCGTGTTGCTGTCCCTTGTTCTCGATGATGTTGATGGTGCCAACGACCAACTCATTTGGAATCTATTCTATCATTTCCGCATTGATGAAGGTTCTCTTGGTCTGTTGCAAACGCAAACAACCAAGCTGTTGTCCCTGTCAACATCACTGCACACATGGCAACAGAGCGAGTATGGCCGAGTGATCAGGATGTGCGATAGTATCTCCTTGGAACGGGTCCGCGACTTGTGGCGCTTCTATGGAGAAAAGAGAGAGGGCGATGTGCTTCGTCACTTTAAAAAGAAGCTCGATGATGGAATGAGAGTGTCTCAAGAGTTTCAAAAGTCAGTCATTGGTGACAATATGAGTGTGATAACGGGAATCCGAGCTGCTGCCCCCGCGTGCTTGCAAGCTACCCGTGCTCTCGGTGATTTGTACAAAATTTATTGGGCTTTTGGTACCACCGAGACTGATAAAACAGCTCGTTCCCGTGCCGTCAATTTCAACCCCATGTTTGCGCCAAAGGATGGAAATATGTTTTTGCATTATGGAACTGACCCGGTGCTTGGATTCCACATCGGCTCTTCTTATGTCCCGATTAAGCCAACGTCGCCTCACTCAGGTTCTTCTGCTGCGAACCCTGAGTTGCATGAAATTGTCAAAACTGCCAAGACAGAGTTCGGCACCTGGACGAAGTCATTCAGGGCGCATTTCAGGGCTGACTTGGTCACACTACGGTTCTTTGTTGGAGATGCGGTGGCTTTTGCATACACCCTCCAGCAGATCCGCACCACCGGTCCCTCAAAGTCGTCTCATTGGTATCGTGATCGCTATCATTTCGAACCACTGGTCTTAGATGATGAAAGCTATTCCAAGACCTCAGCACCGCTTGTGTTTGACGTTATCGACACATCTAACCTTATCGATCATCTGGGGGCCTTGAACCTGCTCACTGCCACTTCCCCACTTCTTCGCAATAGCCTCTCGGCGACTCTTTATTCAGAGAAGCTTGTGCGGACCCAAGAAACTCAGATATCCCTTCTTGAAACTCTTCTATGTGGAGACATGCCTACGGTTACCTCGCTTCTCGCCTTGGTGCCCGTGGAGGTGGCAACGAGCACTGCCTTCTCATCTGCAGGGGATGAAGCTTTATGTCAAGATACGTCAGGCCCCTCGTCCAAGGCTGGACAAGTGTTCTCGAGAATTGCATGGAAGAGACCATTGAATTCGGGCGATGTAGCTATCAACACACTGGGCCTTATTCACTTTGATTCCGCCGGCCTAGCACAGGTGCTCTATCGTGTTCTGTTGACAATGTTTGCCGACGCGGATGTCTCGAAGTTACTTGCCAGAATGCAAAGCCCACAAACACAGTCTCTGCCGACGTACAACCGGGCGAGCTTTGTCGCTTTCCTTTGCCTCGTCAAGACACGGACCAGCGCTGACTGGGATAAGGCAATGGAAGACTTACTTGATCTCATGAATCAAGACACCAGTCCCGCATTTGCCAATACCTACATGCAAGAGCTGTGTCTGTGGATGCATCTGAAGGGTCTTCATTCTGTTGATATTTTAAAACGCTCACCACACAGCCTGACTGGCCATTCCCAAACTGGAACCTTGCAGGGCTGGCAGAACATGCCACCTATGGTTAGTGTCACCCTTCGCGTTCCTCGGAGCAAACTAGACCCCTTTATCGCCGAAACTATTAAGGTCGGCGTCACACCTCCGCTCCATGCTATTCTCCAATCTTCCCCTCGAGCAGCCAGTCAGTGGCAGAACATGTTTGCGGAAACTCAGATTGGATTTGGTACTCTTAACGCCAAAGGATCCAGACACAGTGACTCGTTTGAAGTGGAAATTGAAGAAGACCAATTGGGATGGAAGGGAAAGTCGCCAATGTTTATTTCCTTTTATGTGCCAAGTTGGATCTTACTTCAAGAACCATGTACCGCCACTGTCTCGCTGGCTATCCCGCACTCCCCTACAACAACCCGGATATTTGCCAGTAGCCTGGGACGCAATCTGAGCATCTTTACTGCCAAACAAGAGGAGGTTGCACATGTCTACATTACCAAGAACCAGCCACATCAGAGTGATGTTATGTCCATCCACGGCTTTTATTCGGAGGACGTCAAGAACGAAGTCGGTCCCGACGGAAACTCCGAGACAACCATTACTGCCACCGTCAACGAGAAAACTGGCCAAATTTCATCTTTCACTACCCGTGTCCAAATCCTATCGGAGCAATCAAAGGCTCTACTTAAGGATGGCAGCCGGATCACCCAGTCCTTACGATCCCCGTTTAACTATGCTTTATCCCTTAAAAACGGACCAAGCTTCAATGCAAACTTCCCTGCTCCAGTTTTGGACTCCACCGTGAGAGTGAGAATTGCTCGGAAGTCATCTTACCTTGAGCTCGTCGCAGATGTTGCCAAGTCTAAGGACTGGTCAGCCTTGCGGTCCTTTATGTATCCAGTGTTCTTGGATTCGGGATCGCCCGCTCTGTGGAACATGCCGCACGTCAATCTCTCATCACTTCCCACAATAGACCTAAACAATCCTTCGTCTGAACGTCTACAATGGCTACGGACCCACCTTCCAACTATGAGGTCTGCACCAGAGACTGCCGTGAAGTTTAACCCTTCCTTGCCAGCTCCACCGAATACCCGGGCCAGGGTGGACTTCAAGGATGGTTTATTCCACATATTCCTAGGCTTCAGTGGAACAGCAGGTCCTCAGGCCTCCGTCTACGGTATCGACTGCCCCGAAGAGAAGGGCGTGCAAATGCTGGTTTTCGTATCGAAGATGTTACTCGATATTTCGAATCGCACTACTGTTCTTGACGCTGCAGTTCTCCCTTTGTACACTGATCTCATGCCGCAAATCATGCCTGCTCTGCAGGCGATGGCGAGCAGCACCCATTCACCCAAATCAATCCGCACCTCCAGGGACGAGCTTCATCTGTGGAAGGAAGCTCTGCCTGCTTGGACCGAGCGATGCCGATCTTGGTCCCATAAACCTAGTTGCGAGTACGTTGCAACGGGCAAAATTCCACTCTCGATCAAATTTGGGGAAAGAGTTCTGTGCTCGTGTGGAAAGGGCACAGTGCCAACTGATTTCATGCCCGAATTTGGTGGATGGAAAGCTCTTGCCAAGCACTGTGTGCGGATGGCAATTTCTCCAGCATTTGCGTCCGCACTTGTTGACAAGCCTATTGATTTATCCGCACTCTCATCGGCTTCCGATGCGATTGGTCAAGATTTGAACGGCTGCCAAGTATGTGGCAAGGACGAGGATGCCAATGGTTCGGCTTTGATGAATTGCTCGCGATGTCATAAAGCGAAGTACTGCTCCAGAGATTGTCAGAAGGTCGATTGGAAGAAACACAAGAAGGTCTGCAAAGCAGATGGAAACTGAGTCGGAAGTATGTAATACTTTCTCTCAAGTATTGAATTGGCCACAGAAATTGAATTCTACTTTTTATATCTAAAATCGGTCATCTGAACCGTAGTATGGTATTACAACTGTGAAAAAAAAAAATGAATGAATGAATAATCTTAGGGACTGACTGCTTGTGGAAGTTCTCCCGAATTGTCTTCCGACGTTTGTAGATGATCTTGATAAGGAGAATGCTTATCGGCTTATCGATAAGGCAAAAATTTCAGATTTGAGCTTCGTCCCTGTCAACATCCTTTCGCGCCACACCTCAAAATGCCCGAAAAGGTCCGTACCGTGTTCGCAGACTCAGACGATGAGAAAGTTGTAAAAACCAAGCTCCTGCCTCGACCCACAGAAGAACCCGAG